TAGACACGAGCTGGGGAATCAGCTGAGCTGCTGCATCATTTATGATCTGCTATAGTTTCCAGTCTCCACGGAGGTTTTTCTTGGAGACGTCGAATCTACAGTATTAGGTGTGAAACTGTTGTACTAAACCGCAGGAGATAGAATCTATTCAGCTCAGACAACATTTCACTACGTACGGAAGGAAGTACGCCGATCAAAGCTTGCTACACTCCCGTTTAGTCAACTTAACGGCCCAAATAATGCTTGGGTCATGAACTCATCGCTGTTGGTCTTTCGAGGGTGCCTGACAATGGTTGTTCATGCACAGCACCAGCCGAGCCAAATGACAAGATCAGAGACATAGATCTTCCTAGTTCAATTGCTGAAACGTGACTTGTGCAAACGTTATGTAGCAAAAGGAACTGTACTATGGCACTACACGCCATTCACAATAATCAAAAATGCCCACATGACAAAACAGAATTTCATCAACGGAGCCCCGGGATTTTTTCTTCTGTACTTATGCATTATGGAGTCATAGCATAAGGGAGACGGCACGGTAGACTTTCAGCCTAAATCATAACGAGGGCCAGCTGGGCAGCTCAAAAGAGAGCTCTATGCACTATTGGCAGAGTGGTATACATGAATAGAGAGTGACCACCCAGTGCGTGAAGCTTTTCGTGTCACCCTAGAAAATTTCAAAAATTGATAATGTGGGTTCAACCCCGGGCTGCCAGTGACAGTTGCCCTAACTGCCTTAGGGGCAAGTGCGATACATACATGCTCGCATATAGTATCGCTTGACTGACCCATGCTTGGGGCCAGTGGGTCAAGTCCGCGATCACGAGTTGCATAAACCACAGATCATGTAGAATCTCCATGGATCCAATCTATGTACTGTAAAAGCAGAAATTTTCGGTGGTGCAATATTTTCAGAATTCTCCAAAATCGGCGGTTCGGTGGAGGGAAATTTTCGGTAATACCCGCTTTCCAGGTAAGGGTGCTAGTACTACTCAGTAGTACCGAACAATTTCGGTGCTTTTTTTCGGTAAAAATTGTCGGCACCGAAGTTACCGAAAATAAAACACCACTGAAAATTTCTGCTTTTACAGTACATCATTTTGCGTATTATGATCTCGTGTTGTTTCCTTGGGTGCTACGACTCCCTCCCTGACATGCATTGATCCATGGCACGGTATGATTTGGGCAATTTCAGCCAATCAGTAGACGTTCTGAGAGGGGCATATTCAACGATACACCCCGCTCAGTTCACATGGGTCGCGCCAAGAGTGAATATTGGGAGGAGTCTTGGGAAAGTGCCCTGGGAGAAATGGATAGCACCATTGTATACATGCACTGCATTCCCCATAATTTCCTCGTGTTATGTCCTCGGGAAAATATTTAACGTATACCCTTCATATACTCATAGAATAATCCAAACGTATCTGCAGTCAACCACGGGTATAACAACCCACGGATAGTGACACTATCTTCAGACCTAGTAACAATATAGCCGTATATTATAAACCCCGTGAATGACGACAACTCCCAAATAGCAACACTTTTCTCATGCCCGATCAAGGGTCGTTCGTTACTGGCAAAGTTAGCTGGACATCATATCATGTAGTCATTATTATTTCAGGCAGGGACAATGAAATACACCCCCGCCCCCATTCCTGCAGAGGGAACAGTGCTGTGTCCAGGTCCGCATGCAGCATGGAGGTGCTAGTAAGCCGCTGGCATATTTTCTCTTGTGGATCGATGTACAGTGCGTGACAATGCTTCCACAGTGGTGGTGGTGGTGGTGGCAGGAGCATACTGCACTGCAGGGCATTACAGCACTGGCATACTATTATTTTCTCTTGCAGACGTGCCGTGCACGACAATGCTTCTATAGTGGTGGTCACGGTGGTGGTGTGGTGGTGGTGGTCACGGTGGTGGTCATGGTGGTGGTGGTGGTGGTGGTGGTGGCGGCGGCGGCGGTGGTGGTGGTGGTCATGGTGGTGGTGGTGGTGGTGGTGGTGGTGGTCATGGTGGTGGTGGTGGTGGTGGTGGTGGTTGTGGTGCTGCTGGTGGTGGTTGTGGTGCTGCTGGTGGTGGATGTGGTGCTGCTGGTGGTGGTTGCGGTGGTGGGAGCATTCTGCACTGCAGGGCATTAAAGCAAGCTCGATTGTGCATGCATGGTGGCGGTGGGAAAGAGGAGCCAAGGAAAGTGTGTACATATTTTTGTTGAAAGCACGAGAATTCAAAGAAAGCTGGCTGCTTCCTCTATTCCCATGATCGGCCAGTGCCTGCAGCACGAACAGTACATTCTATTACATGTATGTGCATAGAGAGACAAATAAACACTAACCTGAGCATGGGTACCGCTTGTATTCGTGGTCAGGAAAGTGAAAGTACGAACGAAGGAGAAGAAGATTGTTGACCATGGCGAACAACTGCATATCCAGAGGGCACACAGCTTGCCAGAATGGGTCGGCTACATCTTCGCTAATTTTCTATCCTAACAACATTCAGCTTCGAGGTCAAGGACGACGGCATTTTTGGAAGGAAATTTCGAATTTTGGAGAAGAAGCTTGCTTTCGGAAAAATGTTCCTTTCACGCAAGGCAGCATGCCAGGTCAGGCGTGTGAACCAGGTGAACTGTGTCGGCAGATCGACGTTGACGTTCCAGGCCGACAGTTTTTTGACCAAGCCGTGAATCGCCCTCGCTCGGACTCGCCCGGCTACGAAGGAGTAATTTTACAACTCTTCAGGCCAGCTACAGGTCTCTGATGGTCAGCTGCAAGTGACGGATATCGGTCATTTGCAGCCACTACTTAGAGCCTCCTGGTCGTTGCAATCTGATACATAATATACCTCCGGTGCCTACTTCCGATCCTGGCTGTTCCGATTTCATTCATGGTTGCGCACGTGACAACAGTCACCGAGAAAAGCGACGAGAAAATACTCTATTTTAAAATGCCGTAAAAAACTACTTGTGCATGCATGCTTAAGCTTGTGTCGTTTCCATGGTATCAAAAGCAACAGCTAGCAACAATTATTTTTTTGTAGCTGGCTAGCTGTACAGAAATAAAAATACGAACGAGAACAGATTGAGAATCGAAGATCGAGAAGTATTTCAACATGAATATGGATGGAATACTACGGCAGTAGTAAGGCTAGCAATAGGTAGATGCGCGCACTGTCTCTGTGACAAGGATGAATGGGCTTGTTCGCCTGTTGGAATTTGTTCTTGGTAGGCCACCATCGGCTTTACCTTGTCTAGCTGCCTCCCAGTATGGACAATTATCATTGCCCACCAGTAACAACAGCAACAATGGCAGTGTTCTAGCGCCGTGGAATGATTGGCTGACAAAAGCTGTGCCTAAGAACCGAACTGCGTTTTACAGATGCAAGTGGAACAGACGCTACAAAGTTGTGCAGCCTGTTGACCGTTTCGTTCAGTGTAAAACATGTGGAGGGACCAAAGACAAGGATATCTTATGTCCTAACTGCTTGAAAGACATCTTGGTCAAGACGGCAGAGATAGTCAAAGGTGGCGAGGAAGCAAGGAAAGCCAATCCTTATGATCAGTGGGCGCTGGCTCGATCAACTTTCGAGACGTTGGTCCCGAAATTCAAGAAAATGATTCGGTTCTCCCAGTGGCACGACTACAAGAATCAGCATGTCAACTATGACTATCTTCTATGGGAGTTGAACAGAAGTCCACTCTTGAAGGATGAGAAGAAAGAGCCAGAGGAGAAATGGGAGCCTGGCAACGATTTTAACAACACCAAGTTTCCGAAGTACCAATAGACATATGTATGCAATAGTATGCAACATTGTACAGTAGCGCTTCTGGCTATTGATGTGTGTGTGTGTGTGTGCGCGCGCGCGTGCGTGTATGTCTGCACGCGCGCACATGTGAGTGTGCATGTGTATGCAACATACCCTGTCATACCTACTTTACTTAACACTATTGGTACTTTGGCTTACTTTCATTGCTTTCTGTGATGTGTGTGTGTGTGTGTGTGTGTGTGTGTGTGTGTGTGTGTGTGTGTGTGTGTGTGTGTGTGTGTGAAAGCTAGTTGGTTGGTAGGTGCGCTTGTACCAGGCGGTGGTCTCCACTCGGTTAGCAAGTATTAATTTTACTTCATTGGGGCAGGGGTAAATCCGGTTGAATCCCGGGACGGATACCTTTCAATGATAAAACACCTGGTTTGCGAGAAGACGTGTGTCAATCAAGCAATCATCAATTTACGTGTGTGGTGGGACCAATGAGCAAAAGAAGGAGGAGAAAGGCAGGAGTGTTGTGGCACGCTCCCATTCCTCCTTTTCACACTGTATTGCGTCCAACTGGCACCATTTCAATGCATCTCTTATTCCTTGCCGGTTTTGCTGTGGTACGCATCCTCCGCCAGCCGAGAAGCGTTTTAACGCACTGGCTGCAAGGGCAACGAACTAGCAATATGAAAGAGAAGATGTTCCGAGTCATTTCCAGCTCAGCACACACACAAAAAAAAATATGACACGGGTTCACGTACAGGGCGGGTCAAGGACCGCCTTTCCGCTTCCGTGGGATGCCACCACCCCATGACCAGGCGTCAGATGCGGCTCCTAAACGGCGGGGGAGGATAGATCAGATCAAGAGTGCATAACTAAGAGTGTGCAACTCGACGATCCTCCAGCCGACGGCTGAATTTTTTCTTTTTTCATGACATCAGTCTTTGGCGGCTGCTTGGCTCACTGATGTCATCATGCGTAGCCAGAGATCAAAGTACAACGGATTTGTACATCACAGCTACGGCAGTCAAAGCAGAATAACGGACGATAGATCAATGTGTCCTGAACCTGATGAACTCTCACCATATCTACAAAACAAGCGCGGGAAAGCATACCCATTTGATCATACGTGTGCCAAAGAATGACGCATTAAAAAAAATTCCGCCGTGCGTGAACCCATCACAGCTCGAGATAAGAGTCGTACACTCTTGGTTATGTACTCTTGATCAGATCCATCAACCAGAGGCCAAAGGAAATGGATATGTGCATTTCCGATTTAGCACACTCACAACTGGCACAATACGTTTTGCTATAAATTTCACACACGTTCTACTTGACATGATTTCTAACAAATATCTAGGGATCAATTCCTCCAAATTCGGCAAAGACCAGCTCAACCGGAAACAGAAACAAAACAAACAAAAACAAAACAGTGCATGGCGGACCATTGATAAAAGTTCGGACAATAATCAATAATTATCTGTTCTGCGTTTGCGTGTGTGGCCAAGAATGGCTAGATAAAATAAATGTACTTCAGAAGTAGGCAAGTCATAAATCCTGCAAAAGTGTCAAACTGATGAATATGTGTTACTGCATGTGAACAGCTTTCAAGCTATGCTGTGTTTGAATGTCAACGGAGATTGTCCGCGTCAGAAAAATATACCAACACAGGAAGTTGGCTTGCATGCAACCATAATTTATGACATGTACGTGCACATGCATGCACACACACTCACGCACATCTCTTTCTCTCCGCCTCCGCCATTATTATTCAAAAATCAAAATGCAGCAGTATTCACAGAGGAAACAATTGTTTCGGCTAAGCTGTAATAACTTACAAGTAAAATGGGAAGAGAAGTTTGAAATAAAAAAATAAGCCGTCTGTACCAGCAAAAGAGAGTACCTTCTGGATAGCCGTTGGTCAACATCTAGCTGACCGCAAACACATGCTGAGTCATACGCACTGTCCAATCTGTGCACATACCAGGAAAGAAAGCAGGATATCTATATTAAATTAAAATACCTCCAACGAAGGTTGAGCTGCCTTAATTAAAATAGGCTTTTTTGGGGTGTGCAGACTCCTGTGCAGCCAACTCAAAAAAAAAACTGAGCCGATCACCAACACTCCACTACAGTTTTATTTTAAGCTAGTTTTATTAGCGAATTAGGGTCTCCCTTTGATTAATATTTTTCTAAAGTGCTTACTTTTTTTTAGAACTACTGTAGGTACACTGTACTACAGTCCATTTCAAAACTATAGACGCGTACCTAGGCAAAAACCGTTATGCCAGCATCTATACCACATAAAATCTGTGATCACTTTGTGCATACATTTTTTCCAAATTGGGCGTCTGTTATCCAATCGTTTAGAAACTATATGAGAGTAATTGTGGAGCGGTCCTGAGCAATATTCCGTAAACTATTCTCAAAAAGTTCCAGCCAAATTTGAAATATTTCAAAAACCCTACGCGTCTATAGTTTTGAAATGGACTATAGGGAATTAGAGGCCACATGCCACGTACTGCTCTTTTCTCTCCGAAACTCAACACTTGCAAGCCAGATATGAAAGAAAGAAAAAATCATCAGTCACACCACCGGGACTCGAACCAGGGACCTTGCTACAGCTGTATTCGCAAGCAATGCTCTAACCAACTGAGCTACAGTATGACACTTATCCACAGTGATGGTAAATCTATCCTTCTTCGATCAATCAATATCTGGATTGCATCATACTGGCAACTCACACCAATCAACAGGGCCCTCGGCCATTCGCTTGATATCATGGGGAGCGCATCAAACTATGTCCACTGCGAGCAAATACAAATTGCAATTTCAAATTTGGACTTCACGGAGAATTTCAAAGTGTTAGGAAATGATAGGCCACATGCCACGTACTGCTCTTTTCTCTCCGAAACTCAACACTTGCAAGCCAGATATGAAAGAAAGAAAAAATCATCAGTTACACCACCGGGACACGAACCAGGGACCTCGCTATTCGCAAGCAATGCTCTAACCAACTGAGCTACAGTATGCTACAGTATGACTCTTATCTACAGAAGAAGGATAGATTTACCATCACTGTGGATAAGAGTCATACCAAGAGTACATAAACCAGAGTGTGCAACTGTGCATATCAGATCTGAAACAGCGCAGTTCGTGCACTACGTCACCCTGGTGAGGTCAGCCAAGCCGCGACTTGCGTACAGCTCAAATTTTCGTGTTTCACAGACCGGAAATCAACCAAGTTTACATGATTTTAGTCGTCTTGTTTTAGGATTTCGGTGTTTTTGTGTGACTGCGTATGCTGCGTACATCCGCTGACAAGTAAATTCACCAGGCTATCCGTTTCAAAAAACCGAAATCAGGACAAACTCAGTGACCTGCACCACCGTGACTGGTTACGCAACCTTTCACCGTACCTGTGGCTTACCATGCCGTCAGAAATGATGAAGTGCACGAATTACGCTCCCACAGGAACCATCCCGAGTTGCACACTCTGGTTTATGTACTCTTGGTCATACTGTAGCTCAGTTGGTTAGAGCATTGCTCGCGAATAGCAAGGTCCCTGGTTCGAGTCCCGGTGGTGTGACTGATGATTTTTTCTTTCTTTCATATCTGGCTTGCAAATGTTGAGTTTCGGAGAGAAAAGAGCAGTACGTGGCATGTGGCCTCTAATTTCCTAACACTTTGAAATTCTCCGTGAAGTCCAAATTTGAAATTACTGTAGGTACATAATTATAATGCTTGCCCGGTATAGACTACTACAATGTACCGGTAGTACCAGCACATTTTAGTCTTCGTGTATATTCTGCAGGGAAGCAGGTCTGGCGATACCTTGTACTTGAAGCATACTGAGTTTTAGAGATGTGAAGTGGGCTGTCAATCATTGCGTATTTGTTTCTGTATCATAATCTGTTCTACGCATTACACTGCAAGTGCACTTTTAACACTACAGCTGTACATGTTCTTGTATTCCTATGAGATTCTTCTGCATTTCGGTTTTACTTATCACCAATACGGTGTTCTGGTTTGGATGGCTTGAGCTGCGCCAGGAAAGCCAAACCTTGTTCACATTCAAGGTAAAGTACCTGAAAAGAGAAAAATGCCAGACCCACAAGGACTCGAACCCGGGACCTTGCTTGTCATGAGCAACCCTCTAGGCCGAACCTAGAAGGCGCTGGCAAAAGTTTCACTCCAGAGGCAACTCTCAACACGTGCCACACATACTGATGGCACTTGGGTCTTTTTCCCTACCCCGGGGGACCAACCACGGTCAGTTTCTGGAACGTACTACCAGAGCGTTCACATTGTTTGCAAATCCATGTACATGTATACACACACGCACCTGATGCACGGGTGAAATAGCCACTGAGCTGACGTAGCCACCGCCGTGATGCAAAGATAAAGTACAAAGGGATGCTCAAGATCATGAAACCCAGCGAAATAGAAGACTTGGTGGGATGCTGGTAGAATGGTGCGACGACCAGGAATATAGAGAAAAGTAGCATGATGATCGGAAGAGGCAGCGGAACCTGCAAGTAAGAAAACAGACTCTAGTTAACATTCTTTCGTCGATACAAAACATGTACTCGACTACGTGAACTTATTACTACTAACATTGGAGCCACATGCTAGTACCGGCCCTACCGGGGATCTCTGATAAGATGTATCAATCCATGGCTGCCATTCTGACAATCATGCTTTGCTGGTACCTGCAGTGACCTGTCAAGCATCTCGAGACACAGGGAGGTAGGTGTATGTGGTATGCAGCGAGGCTGGCACTTCAACAGACACGGGCTCAGCAGTACGGCACACACGATCTGTGCGTCTTGGCAGAGTGCGTGCAGTCTAAATGGATTTGTATGCACGCTTATGGAGGGAAAGGCCGTGCCTCGAAAACCGTCCGTATGAAGCAGGTGCATGTCTTAGGGCCCGGTCAGACTGTGGCCAATTTACGGTGCCTGTCGATAAAGGAAATCGTTCGGGATTAAAATTGCGGTCACAATATGGGGAAAATGAAAATTCAAAATGCAATCCGAGCACTATAAAGTGGTATACCGACCACGGATTTCTTCAAATTCCTTCACCTTGACACTGCCCACACCTTCAGTGCAATCCTTGCAGTCCCTCTTTTGAGTTTTCCTGTTGCCCGTGGTCAGTCAGCACTTCGATATGGAGATGAAAACCAGTGAGTCCAGCGTCAAGCTCCTGTTTGGAGCGGAAAAGCGTAGTCAAATCTTGCTTCGCCGCAGCAGAATCAAACGTCAATTTCGCCGCCGTCAAGCTTTCTACGGAGATTCTGATCATACTCGCAGGAATATTTCATTTTGCTACAGTCTGACCGGGCCCTTATCTAGGTACGCCCAACAATAAATGTAGTTCTACGATACATTCACATTCAGGTGTCCAGGTGCTTTTTCTTTCTAAAAATGGCATGCGCATCCCTAACTTTCGTGGGTGCTACTGCATTGTACTGTTGTGGATTCAACTACATGTACCTTGAACAATCTGGGAAGATCCGGTTCTCGTCGACGAAGAAGCATCAGTATGACCATAGAGGATCCATAGAAGAGCCATGCGATGAAGCTATAGAACAGGATGAGTGACTCTAGGTCCACAGCAACGATGTAGAATGCGACCATCAGAGCCTTCAGCAAGCAAGACAAAACAAACAGAAAAACAGGAAAGAAAGAAAATCAATGCACAAAATACAGTGAAGCCAATGGATGTGTGTGTGTGTGTGTGTGTGCGCGCGCGCGCGCGTGTGTGTGTGTGTGCGTGTGTACTACGGTAGGTATGTGTGTGTGTGTGTGCGTGTGTACTACGGTAGGTATGTGTGTGTGTGTGTGCGTGTGTGTATGTGTGTGTGTGTGTGTGTGCATGCATGCATGTGTGTGTGCGCGCGTGTGTGTGCATGCATGCATGTGTGTGTGCGCGCGTGTGTGTATGTGTGTGTGCGTGCATGCATGCATGCGTGTGTGTGTGTGTGTGTGTGTGTGTGTGTGTATGTGTGTGTGTGTGCATGCATGCATGTGTGTGTGCGCGCGTGTGTGTATGTGTGTGTGCGTGCGTGCGTGTGTGTGTGTAGATTGCTGCCTATCTATTGTGCATAGAAAGTTGCTCTTCTGTTATAGTCCATCGAGGTCCGGGCTCTTTCAAACCTAGTCTTGGTTATGGAAAACCCCGTGAGGGGGAGGGGTGTAGTATCAGTTCCGCTTATACCGCTTATACAATGTACAATACCAATATTTTTCTCTCATTTTCAATGGCATTGTTTTGATTTACCTTCTAAAGATGAAGATGCAAGGGATGGCTCTGGGCCAGCAACAGCGTGAGTTATATGTACACTGGTAGCATGGGGGTCTGACAAAACCATTGAAGTGTACTGGTACAGTCGACCTACCCTTATAACGATAACCTCTATAACGATATTACCCTTATAACGATATTTTTCTGCCAAACCAAATCACTCCATTGACTTGTGTATACAGTGCCTTACCTCTATAACAATATTGTTATAACGATATTACCCATAACGATATAAAATGGGCTGACCAATCGACATTTTCCATTTTACAACAATATCTAGCAAGCAGCATGTAGAGCCAACTTTCCAGGTAGGGCAAGCTTCACTTGATAAGTCGCTGGGACATGACGAAATGCAATGGGAGCACCAGTGGGCACCTTGCTGTGCACATAATGTGCATGTACGTCAGTTTTTATGCTATGAAGAGTGTAAAAATGAACAGAATTCATGCATTATGACGTATGTGTATGAAATAAACCAGTTACCCCTATAACAATATTACCCTTATAACAATATTTCTTGGTGTGACGGAAATATCGTTATAAGGGTAGGTCGACTGTATGTCAACTGCTTCGTGGTATTTGCCACGATTTGGTGAAGTGTATGGGTTTTGCTTACTACAAATGTACAAGAAGTCGCCTCCTTGATAAAACCAATTTTTCACACACGGCGAAACCGGTCAATCCCTGCTTTCATAAAGAGAGGTTAAAGATAAGCAACGTCTGGTTGGTGCGAAGGAAGTGAAGCACCTGGTTCAGGATTGTGCAACAAGATGGAACAGGGTGTACCTGATGTTGGATCGTCTTGTTCAGCTCAAAGTGCCTGTGCAGTTGGTCCTTGCGGATATGCCAGACAAAGATCGCCGCTCCATGGACTTGTCCGCAGACCAGTGGGCCTCTGCTGAACATCTCCTCGATTTCCTGAGGTCGGTGGACCAGGTGACGACATCTTTGGGCGGTGAGCAGTACTCAACCCTGTCCTGGCTTCTTCCCCTACTGACGGCACTGAAGTCCCATTGCCAGACCGGAGATGATGACGATCTGCTGGTAGTGGCATGCGTGAAGCAGGCATTTGCGGATAGTATAACTAGGCGCTTTCATTTGGATGGCTTAGATGTCAACGGAGAGGCAGTGCTTGCTGCTGCGTTGGACCCTCGGTTTCGGGCTCTAAAGTTCCTCGACTTGGAGCAGCAACATGAAGTGCAGCAAACGCTCATCAGCTACGCAAGTGTCGGCTGCTCGCCCTGCACGGAATCTTCAAGCTCTAGCTCCGAGCCACCAGCAAAACGCCGCTGCCTCCTGGATCAGCTGCTTTGCGACGACGGTGAGGATGAGGAAAGCGAGGGATCCATCGAAGCAGAGGTAGCAGCTTATCTGGCTGAAAAGCCAGTCAAGCGCTCTGTTGACCCTCTGTTGTGGTGGAGCACAAATGCTGCCCGATTTCCCCGCCTGGCTCCACTCGCACGGAAGTACTTGTGCATTCCAGCAACTTCTGTTGCATCTGAGCGCGCGTTTTCCTTTGCTGGGCAGATTGTCGACAAGCGCCGGAGCAAGTTGTCTGCAGAAACGATCGATGCACAAGTCTTTCTGCACAAGAACGCCCACATCATCGATGTACGAGTTCCTGCGCCACCGAAGCCGGCCATGCCACTTGTCTTGGCTGCAGTCGAAGACGATGATGAACCTTCACTGCCAGATCTTCCTTAACAGCCAATTGAATTATAGATAGTTCATGCTCTCTCCCCCTGTGTGTGCGTGTATGTGCATGTGCGTGCATGTATGTGTGTGTGCCTGCCTCTCTCTCTCTCTCTCTCTCTCTCTCTCTCTCTCTCTCTCTCTCTCTCTCTCTCTCTCTCTCTCTCTCTCTCTCTCTCTCTTTCTTTCTCAAGAAGAAGATTCATTCTGGTTAGAAATGTTCCAGAATGCCCGTAAAAGAGGCGTTGTGCTTACGATCATAACCAGTGGCAATGCAGTGGCAATGTTCTTGTAAAACGTGTATGGATTGCTAAAGGGTACCCGATAACCCGCCTGTTAAGCCAGGTACCCGTTTGTTAGCTTAAAGGGTAACCGTTTCACCACTAGTTAAAATAATCGTGGAGCTGCAGGCAATGACAGGACTTACTTGAAAAATAAAAGCTGGTAGCGGTGTACCAAGTGATGAATGAATCAGCCCCAGAATGCGAGGTAGATCGCCATGCTTGGCAGATGCAGCCGATACTCTAGAGAAGAAAATCACACCAAAAGAGACTACAATCACATACCGGCCTTTATGACTGCACAGGCAATGGCATTGCTAGTAACACATAAGCGAGCACGCACGCGCGCACGCACAGACACACACATACACTACTACTATGTACAACTGCCACAAAATGGCCACGTCGCTCCCAGAAGCGGGAGACAACAGCGAGAAAAGAAAAGAAACAAGGAGAGTAATTGAGGTGAAAGGGGACCGTTCTACACACAGTGTTTCTGTCTCCGGTGGGGGGGGGGGGGGGGGGGGGGTGAGGTCCTGCGGGCGGGAGAATCGTTCGCTACATAGGCTGCATTGGATGGGCAGATTAGTCGAGCAATGGTGCTGGCAGCAGTCCAAATTCAGGCTGCATCTTGTTGGAACAGCTGGTATTTCGTCCGATGTCTGACGCTCCACACAACGATGACATGCACACACACACACACACATACACACACACACACACACACACACACACACACACACACACATTTTAACATGTCGAACGTGCCGGACAGAACAGTCTACTCAATGATACAGGCGCTCATAGCCAGATCTCTTTTCAAGCGAACACACCAATGCATACTTCAAAGTGCTATCGTGCCAGGGCTCTATCTGGAGCTGGTGTATTCCTGAGAACGGATTCCACTGAGTGCTTGCAGTGCATGTACTGGAAAATACATACCATCTACCCAGTGTGCCCATCACAAGAGACACAGGCAAATCTGCAAGTTCACTGGATGCACACCCACTGATTTGCTCTTATAGCAACAACAGTGGACGAGATCTGAATGAAACAAGATTATCGTCGGGTAAACTAATGACCCACTCCACATAACTATTATTAACTAGTGAAGCCAATTGAATCCACGCCCAATGCACACCTGGTCTATAAACCACAAGGAGTACATCGGAATAAAACAGCCAAGATAGTTACCTAATGCACACCCTACATTTTCTGGGACAGCCAGTATGGACAGCACGCTCCCCTCAAATGCAAACAGACACCGGATGCACTTATGTTGTCCGTGACCTCTACAAGGTCGGTCCCCTTTTGCAAGTTTTGGGTACTTGAAGTACATGTAGATAATATATTCTGTGTGGCAATGTGCCCGCGTCGACTACTCATGACCCTGAGATTAAGAGTCTCATGCTCTACCGACTAAATGCTCTACCAATGGACAACACTGATGCCACGCACCCCCCCCCCCCCCCCCCCCCTCCCGCACACAGAGTATTCCACCATGGGAAATGGCAGACAGACAGACAGACACACACACACACACACACAGAGTATTCCACCATGGGAAATGACTGACAGACAGACACCACATACACACAGACACATGATTCCTAACAGCTGAGTCTCACAGACGGCAAACATTGCCTAGCTCACCTTGAGCCGGCAAAAAGAGTGCTGTTAGCTGCACCAAAACATGACGCGGCCACAAGTAGAGGCATGATCACCAAGCCAGCGTTGCCGAGTACATTATGTACTGCATCCTGTGTAAATACAGCACAGTACAAATAATTATACATGTATGCAGCGGTACTGGCAATTGCGCAAGGAGCATAACCCGGTTGAAGTATAAGCAATCCCTATGAGCAAGAAAACACTTATATTTTAAACCAGTCGCAGCACTGCAAGCAGCCATAACCTCATAAGCAGTCACAACCCCATATAAAGCAGCCACGTAGTAGTCACAGCCCTATCAACAGCCACAGTCCCTATAAGCAGTCACAACTCCTATGACCAGACACTACCATAATATGTTAGTGTCTGGTCATAGGAGTTGTGACTGCTTATAGGGACGGTGAATACTTATTGGGTTGTGGCTGCTTATACGGGGTTGTGACTGCTTACGAGGTTATGACTGCTTGTAGTGTTGGGACTGCTTATAGGGATTGTGGCTGGTTATAATTATACGCAGTCACAGTTAAGCAGTCGGGCAAGCCAGTCCAGTCGCAGAGGTCAACAGGGTAGTCTCATTCGGAATGCCTGTGAATGGCCACAGATCTCGTCTTTGTCACTGTCAACTCAGTTACAAAGGCTGGGAAAGAGGTCAAGCAACACAGGCTTCTAAAACAGTGTACTGTGACCAGCACTTGTAGGTGGGACTATATCCGTGCCTGTTAGTCGTCACTTGCTACTTTAGACATGTCTACAAGTAGGAAATATTATATTCACCGTGTCTCAGTCTAGTCTATGTGCTCGGAGTCTTCTGGTCTGTCCAAATAGCACAATGCAGCTGCTGTTCTTCACTCAATCATTCTGGTAAACATCCAGCTCACGTCTGAAGCCACACCTTACCACTGCATGACTGCCCGAAGAGTGCCTCACCACCTCTACTCCAAAGTGCGCGACGAACTGGCGCGCATGGAAGAAGGTGACATCATCGCAAATGTGGATGAGCCGACTGATTGGTGTTCACCAATAGTTCCAGTGTTAAAGCCCAATGGGAAAGTGTGCATCTGCGTTGATTTGAAGCGCCTCAACGCATGCGTGAAACGAGAAACTTTCCAGCTCCCAACACTGGACGACGCGCTTGCCTCGCTGGCTGATGCCACCGTGTTCTCAACACTAGACGCAGCTAATGGGTTTTGGCAACTGCCGCTCGCGCCAGACGCTGCGCACTTGACGACATTCATCACACCGTTTGGCCGGTATTACTTCAAGCGGCTGCCATTCGGTATTACTTCGGCACCAGAGATTTTTCAGAAGCGCATCACCAACCTCCTGGATCAGCTCCCTGGTGTCACCGTGTATATGGATGACATCATCATCTCCGGACGCACCGTTGAAGAGCATGATCGAAACCTGGAAGCTGTTTTCGACATCCTCAAGAAAGCCAACGTGACCGTCAATGAGTCCAAGTGTCACTTTAGGAAGAGTGAAGTGAAGTTTCTGGGCCACATCGTCTCCAAGGACGGTCTGCGGCCGGATCCACAGAGAGTGTCTGCTGTTACCGACCTCAAGCCACCCAAGAATGTCACAGAGCTGGAACGGTTTCTTGGCATGTTCAACTTCATGTCACTGTTCATCCCGAATCTGTCAGAAGTCAGTGCTCCACTTCGTCTTCTGCTGGCCAACGATGCAGTCTGGGAATGGTCTGCAACGCAACAAGCAGCCCTGGATCGGCTGAAACAGCTTGCTGCCGACACCCCTGCCTGTCATTCTTCGATGCGAGACGGCCGACAGTCATCAGTGCAGATGCAAGTAGCTATGGTCTCGGCACCGTTTTGCTACAGAACCACGACGGCAGTCTCCGTCCAGTTGCGTACGCGTCCCGCTCATTGACATCGACTGAGCAGCAGTATGCGCAAATTGAAAAGGAGTGCCTCGCCGTGGTTTGGGCCTGTGAACGGTTCCACAGCTTTGTGTACGGCAACCCATCATTGACGGTCCACACTGACCACAAGCCATTGATACCTCTGATCAACACGCGCGACTTGAACCGCGTACCACTGCGCTGCCAGCGACTGCTCATGCGTCTTATGAAGTACAACCCCGCAGCTGTGTATATTCCCGGAAAGCAGCTTGTTGTAGCGGACGCCCTATCACGCGCTCCGGACGCGTTGGTCGACTCGCCGACGTCTCAGCTGGCGGAAGAGAGATCTCTCTTCACATATCAACGATCACCAGTGAAATCGTCTCGGCACGCAAAGCGGAAGAGCTTGCGGCCAACACTGCAGCAGACACCGTCTTGCAGCAAGTCCTGCAACACGAAGTTTGGGTGGCCCGACTCAGCCCATCTTGTAGAGGATGCAGTCCTCCCGTTCTTTCACGAACGTGCCCTACTGTCATGCAGGAATGGCATCCTGTATCATGGCACCAGAATCGTCATTCCACCCAAGCAGCGTGCCTCTGTCCTTGCCACTCTACACGAAGGCCACCAGGGTGCCACGAAGTGTAAGGCATTAGCGCGAAACTTAGTGTGGTGGCCAGGCCTTGCCAAAGAAGTAGACGCACTGGTTGCAGCATGCCCCGTCTGCTGTAAACACCACCTCCAGCATAGCGAGCCACTTCAGCCGGTTCCGCGCCCTCAGCTCCCATGGCACACCATTGGCTGTGATCTGATGGAGCATGATAGTAAAGTGTACCTCGTGGTAGTTGACTACTTCTCGCGATTTCTCGACGTCATCCCGCTGCGTTCCACGACGTCTGCCAGCATTGTCTCCAAGCTGCATGGTCTCTTCGCCACCCATGGCATCCCAGCATGCCTTGTGAGTGACAATGGTCCCCAGTTTGCAAGTGCGGACTTCCGTAGCTTTGCCCACTTGTACGACTTCAGTCACCGAACCTTCAGTCCTCGCTACCCCCAATCGAACGGCGAAGCAGAACGAGCTGTCCGAACTGCTAAGGAGCTTCTCAAGAAGAACCTGAGTCTGCCTGATGCTCTCCTAGTGTATCGCAACACGCCGCTAGCCAACGGCTTTGCGCCAGCTCAGCTCTTGTACGGTCGACGTATCCGCACAACCGTCATGATGTCTGCAGAGCAGCTTCAGCCAGAAAGGCCCGACATCACCGCTCTCCTGACCACTGAGCACACCCTGCAGGAGAAGCAGAAAGAGGTTTACGACAGCCACCATGCTGCCCGACCTCTGCCGCCATTAGAGCCCGGTGACAAGGTGTGGATCCCAGACTTGAAGAAGGAAGGGAAAGTAGTGGAACGCCTATCAAACCGTTCATACAATGTGGAGACAAACACCGGCACTGTTCGTTGCAACCGCCGACACATCATCAAGCAACCCTTGGACGACACCGCAGTTGTTGTTGATGTTGAGCCAAACACCGCTGACCAGCCAGCAGCACCAAGCCGTTCGGAACGGGCCACTCGAGGTGTCCCAGCAAACCGTCTGCTGGAACAGATGTGAACTGTGTATGCTAGTTGGAGTCTGATCCATGATTGTGATCTCCATACTCGCCTTTACTTGTTCGCTTCTATATGTACTGTACTTAAATTCTGCACTTATTGCTTCTTGCGATTACCTTCACTCGGTTTAGTCTAATAGAGGATTCTTCATCTAAGAGGGGAGATGTAGTGGATCTGGGTCCATATTTGTGTTATAGTGTTTGAACTTTGTCTATGCAATAATCTACCCCATTGCCATTTATGTCTGACTGGTGACCTCATGCATACTACGCACGTGCACCGTACGACCTTGCGGCATTCACACTGTATGCTGATGGCAACTCATGCTACTTTATCTGTAGGTTTTATTCGAGGACAAGTTAGTTGAAAACAGGACGAAATTGAGTGTTGTTGTGTGTGTTAGATGACTGCAAAAGTCATTACACATTCCACCCAGTGGCAGTTGTCTGAAACCAAATGGATCTCAGTATTCCATGAGGCTGAGAGGCCCCAACACTTACCACAGCAATAGCTTCGCTCTTTAGGAACACTTGTGTTGTCAGAATGGACATGTACGCTACGTTGACCAGGACATAGCATACCGTGACCAGGGGCACTGCTAGTACCAGTGCGTAGATCAAGATCCTAACACACCGGCACAGACACAGATACAGGTAAACACTAAACACAGTACATACAACACTCCCACGGTTCATGTCTGTGTGCTTCTTCCGCTGTACTTCAAGTTTGGTCTTGGTCAAAAACACACACAGCACATGCATACATACACAGGACATACATGTATATACACACACATGTGCGCGCACACACACACACACACACGCGTGCATGCACACACACGCGCGTGCATGCACACACACGCACACATGCGTGCACACACACACACACATGCACACATACCCACACACACAAACACACACACACACACACACACACACACACACACACACACACACACACATTTGTTTCGAAACCAGCCGGCGCCCACAGGCTGATGAAAAACCTGAAGTTACAGAGAGGGACTCCAGTCGTGTTTTTAATTGACATACAATACAAATAAATAACAACACCAGTATCTAGCATAGTCAAGGGAAACAACTTACTTTGGGTCCTTAAGCTCCCCTGAAACATAATTGGCGTTGTTCCTAGTGGTGAAGAAAATACAAGTACAGTATGACAGACAGCAGATGAGAGAGCAAACTGGGGAGAGGGTTGGTTCGCATGTGTGAGCGAGAATATAGAGCATACGTGTGCGAGAAAGAAATGGAGGTATGTACTTCCGAAGCACATGTACATGATGAGAGGTCAACCGAATGGTCCTGCAAGAAGTGAGAGACTCCCTATGTGTGCAGGGAACCCAAAGCGAACACACATTCAGTTTACAGTGCTCTTTAGTATTTACTCCACGTTCCACGGCCAAGCAACTACAGTCAACTTCGCTAACAACGACTGCGGATACAACGACAATTCGCGAATAACGACATAATTTTCATGCCCAGAGCAAAGTCCCATCCAACTGTGACACATATAATAAGACTTCGGGTATAACGACACTTCGCGAATAAGGACACTTTTCTGATGCCCCGCCGAGTGTCGTTATAAGCGAAGTTGACTGTACAGTCAAACCTCTTTAGGACGAACACTAAGGGTCCGGTGGAATTTGTTTGCAATAACGGGAGTTCTTCTTTATTGTTTTATCCCATAAAGTTATGAATGCTCGTTCTTCTAAAGCGAAAGTTTGTCGTATCAGTGTTCTTCATAACGAGGTTTCACTGTACTGTGGAGTATACCAACAACTCATGACAAAGCCATGCTGCATAACACTCCAACACTAGATGGGCTTATTCTCATGCGGAGGTAGTTAGCTAGCTGTTCAAGGTTGTTCCGTGAACTCACTCACCAGCCATCATATGCCCATAGAGCATCATAAAAGGCAAAGGCTATAGATCCCACTTTCACCGTGGTGTTCTGAAATCCTGTTTCCAACTGCCCATAGTGACCTGAGGAGGAAATGTCATCACGCACAGCCACAGTGCAGCAAAGTGAGCAGCGAAGCAAACCCAAGCCCGTACTGATATTAGACCCATGTCACCCTTATATACCAGCAGATCATGCGCTTCCCACTGACTGTGGGTCACGACATGGCCGGCGCAGTATTTCTGCTTAAAAAGCAAGACTTGAATCAGATACCATATGACCAATAGGCTTTGCACTATTGTCATGGCCGGCTGGCCAGCAGTTGTGGAACGCCATACCGCCATGCCACCACTCCCCCTCCCTGCAAACGCTGGAATATAGTGAGATGATGCGGGCTGGTGCAACGACCATAGTTTGCTAGCCAAGACATATGCAAAGACATATGGATGAATAATGCCATCGTGCAGGAAACTGCAGTCACGCATTGCTCTCTCTCTCTCTCTCTCTCTCTCTCTCTCTATCTCTCTCTCTCTCTCTCTCTCTCTCTCTCTCTCTCTCTCTCTCTATGTACCTCGAGAAAGGGAGACTATTCCGAGGAGGATGAGCAAGCCGAGGGCACAAAACTTGATGACAAGCATGATGGATGAGATGTGGGCTGACCACTTGCTGTCCAGACAGCCGACAACTGTAATAAGCACTAAACAAGAAGTGGAGCACCAAAAAGCAAATGCATCTGAGTGCAACTGACCAAATCGAGCCTAAACCTAAAAGTGAAAACAACTTAACCCACGTAGGCCTGGTCATGCCACTGGTAATGGCTGTGAGTGCAGTGTAGTGCCGTGCCTAGTGTCAGTAGTGACTAGTCCCAGTAACAAATGCCCATGGGAAATTCCCCCGGGTATGCCAGGGCCCCTGGTCAACAAAAAAACATTGTAAAAGAGGTTCGCCCCGTTTCGCTGGAGTCGAAGCCTCGTTTTTGAACCCTGATATACATGTCTCACCATACATAACTTACGAAGCGCAGCAAGAGCTATTCCTTTCATGGAGAAACTAGGTGCAGTGCAGTCGCCGTCATAGAACGGATCAGACACGTATCTTGCAAATGTCAACAATATAATTCCACCGCTCACTGGTCGGACGACGACTGTTGATGACCAGCAGTACAGGAACGCTGGCAGGCGACCGAATGCATACCTAAGATACGTGTACTCTCCACCAGACTCAGTTAGGGCTGTGCCAAGCTCGGCATAAGATAAACTTCCGCACAGTGTTATGAATCCACAAAACGTCCACACTATCAGAGCCATAGCACCGCTTCCAACGCGACCAACTATGTCATTTGGCGTTAGAAATATCCCGGAGCCTATGATCGTTCCAGCGATCAGGGAAATAGCGGCCACTAATCCTAGCTGTTTCTTCATCTGGGGTCCTGGACTGTTGGGTTTGACTTCAAATCGACTGTAGGATGACTCTAATACTGGGTCTGAACTTGAAGGCGACACAACATCGTCCCTGAAACTGGTTTCGTGACAACGAGTACCGGTAACCATTTCGTCACCTCCTGTCGAGATAGTGTCTCCCCGATAATCCATAGTTGCTATTACACTGTACCAGTAATCAGGAACAGTCTGGTAATTCAATTTACAAACAATTACATCTGCAACACAACAGACAGGTCACAGTTTAGGAGCACGGGCGAAGGCAGCGAGCAGTCTTTGTCGGTCTGGCTTTTCTCAGCCCAAACGGCAGGCTCGTAGATAATTTTAAATTAAATGTTCGATGGTGAACTGCAGCAGGTACTCTGGGTCAGAGTTCTTCATCAACAATAATTATAATGATCTGTCGCACGACCACATCCATTCCAACCCATTTCGTGGACTAGCATGTCTTGTCAGTCAGAGGCGCCGGCTACGCGTATGGCGGCTAGCTATCTCCTAAATATTAGTTAGTTAGTACAACAGACAGACAGTGCAAGTGATCTACAAATTAGACTCTACCATGATGTACAGCTCAGTCGTGGTCAAAGAAATCCGACCCCTACAATAATTATACAATGTTGTAAAAATAAAGGCCGAAAGCAGCGCCCATGCCAGCGCTCGGATGCTTGGGTTTTTGGACTGCGCAAGATGTACGGTACACCACACACTGAATGAATATTTTTTCCCGAGGCAATTAGCGCAAGTGCTCCACAAAATTAATTTCAACTCAAAAGTAATTATTATGTAGTTCTAAACAACAGATATGTAATCACTGATCAGGCCAGGGAGTTTTTTTTTTTTATCAGGCCAGGGAGTCGTTACGACTCCCCGGATGTAATGTGTGGAATTGGAATGGAAACGTTGGTAAAATTTAATGATTGTACTATTTGTACTTTTGACCCGTGGGTCGGTTTTCTTTGGCCACGGCTGTCTGCACACGACAATAATAATCATAATAATTATTATAGTAGAGCTAGCTGTATGTCTTTGCAACGGGCCAGGTCGGTAATCACTAATCAGGCATAAAAGCACAGGCAAAGCACACTACAAATCTCGCAACAACAATACCGGTATTCTTTGGGCTCTAAAACAGTAAGCATGATGTGATGAGCAAGACAAGTGCTACGCTTTGGAAGCACAGCACCAAGAGGAAAAATAATACAAGAGAGCTCGTCAGCACAAGCTTGTCAATTCCACAGCAACAATTTGAAAATTCAAAAATCCAGATAAATGGGGCTGGCCCTAGATAAGGCATGAAGAAATGAAACACTCAAAATATGGCAAGAATACGCAATGACCGCGCTTGGGTTGGCCATGCATGTACATCAGCGAAGTCGACTACAACGATAGAAGAAGAAAAACTGTATAAAACTAGGCATGTGTTGTGTGCATGGGTGTGAGGGGGGAGGGGGGGGGGGGGAATTCCATGTATTTTATATTCTAAATATTTACTATACACAAGACAATCTTCAAGGTTCTCATTAAAGAAGACCAGGGGGTAGAGGTGGCGGAGGCGGCGGTGGTGGAGGCGCCGGACCACCACTGGGTGGTGGCTCTGGAGGACCACTTGGTGTTGCCTCTGGTGGTGCATCTGCCGATGACGCCGGCGGGTTTGAAGCAGCATCGCCTGCAGGCTTTTCGCCCTTCTCATCTTTCTCCTCGTTTTCTTCGGCGGCCGTCTTGTCAGCACGGAAGAAGATTCTAGCGCTGCTGAGAGAGTAGAAGAGTAGGTCAAATTCCTGCTCGCACTGGTCGAGACGTTTGACAGTGAAGCTCATCGTTTGCTGCAGCTTGTCATCATCTCGGCCACGCTGTCTGGACGCCCTGAGCTCGGTCTTCTCTCGTCGATACTTGGCCTTGACTGACTGGAACCAGTGCAGAGAATCAAAACCGGCATACTGATCTAGCAGCTTTAGGATGTAAGCTACACCCATGGCAAAGCCATCATCAGTGAACGCAGCCCCGGACTTGTTCTTGCGATTCATCTTCTCCTTGGCCGACATCATGTACTCCACATAGTTGAGAGTGAGTGGTGGAACTATGATGTGGAAATTCTTCAAGTGCTTGTTCTTCTGGTCACGGAAGGAAGAGGCAAACACATCCACCAGCATCTTCAAGTACTCGGTGCCTTCTGCGAAATTCTTGGCCAGCGTCTCCACGCACAGATCCAAATTCTTAGCCGCTGTCTTGCTCTCACCCGATAGGCCTTCTGCCGACACCATCTCCTCGAAAGAAACAATATCTTCCAGATCTGGCACAAAGCGGATAGCGTTGCTGCAGCAATGAAGGCCTCCGGAACGGATCATACGGATATAGCCCATCGCATTGCCAATCTCGGTGATCATCAGCCGGAACTGGTCTAGGTAGCTGTGACCATCTGCGCTGAGGCCAAGCTTGCGAATGCCCTTGTTGAACTTCTCCGCTCGATCAAATGGATACTGCTGGTCGAGCTGCTGTCGATTCTCCTTGAAGAAGCGGATATCCTTGAAAAGACGTGCCTTGATCTGCTCGTCCATCAAGAACTGTGAGAAGAGGAAGAACTTCTTGCGCAAGAACTGATACGTGAAGTTGACCGTTGTGTTCATGATACCGATGCCGTGTGTGCGAATACTGTTCGCGATGTGTCGGATGCTGATGGTGTTCAGATGCTTGTTGTTGCTGCTGCGCTCCACGAAGATCTGGTTGTTCAAGTTGTAGTTGTAGCGTGCAACAAAGACGTGAATGTTCCGCATGATTTCCAGCACGTCCAGGCCTTGTTCTAGCGTCTGGCTGGGCAAGTGTGGTTCGGCCATGCGAAGGTTGTACTTCTGCTCAGCCAGGTGCCGCATCTCGCTGTAGGTCTTCCAGTCATGGAGCGCTACCGTTGTCAGGTTGTAGAAGGTTGTGTCCAGGTAATGGGTGACATGAGCGCAGATGTCGAAGAACGTGTCGAAGAAGCGGATCGGCTTGACGTGAAGAAGCGCCGACAGGTCCTTGTGGCCAACACGGAACGGGTTGCGACTGTCCAGCTGAAGGCCAAACTTGGAGTGGATGTGCAGACGCAGGTCCGTCTCAATGCTGGTGCAGAGCGAACGGATGATATGCGTCTCCATGAGACCTTCGACCCACTTCTCAAACTCGCGCAGCAGAAAGTCAGGCTGCTCCTCTTGGACTGCATGCCGCAGTGGTAGCCCGCAGTCACGGAGAGCAGCAAACATGTAGTGGAGACGAGGCGCATCTTCCGGATTCTCAAATATGTGGTTCAGGTAGACAGGTACAATAGCACGATGCCAGTAGAGAAAAGAGCAGTCGGATGCATGTGACAGCCACGTCTGCAGCTCTACAAGTGCCTCCATCTTGCGAATGCGATCCATCAGCATAGCCAGCTCATCGTCCTTCAATAACTTCATTTGCAGCATGACAGACATGGCTAGCTGCGCCACAACGAGGCGCTCACTAGTACCAGGACCGTTCAGCATCGTCTGCAACAAAGTGACGGCTGCCAGCACGTCAAGACGTCGGTCAGAGTAGCGCTTGTCGGAGGTAACACGCTTCTTGGCAGCACCGATGATCGTCAGCAGGTTGAAGTTGTAGTGCTGGATGATCTGAGTGATTGATTCGGCTACGTACATGCTGTGTCGGTGGAAGGTGAATTGAACGGTCTTCATCAGCTCCACCATGCGACACAGAGCAAGGACAGAGGACTTGTTCATGGGCTTCTGCAGACGCACGTGCAGGTTCATTACCGTCCGTACATGATGGGACAGTTGGTATGCGTAGAGCAAGCCGGTGATGAAGACAACAGCGCGGTTGCTGAGGTCTTCGGCGAGGGAGTTGCCTCGTCGTAGCGTGTTCTCCATACGCACTGCCCACTGCGTCACCTGTAGGTAGTAGTTGTGCGCATCTCTTGTCAGATTCTGTCCGTTGCTCGTCAGCCACTGTGTGCGCGATGCATTGAGTGCATTGATGTGCTTCTTGTCCACCACTTTCATCAGGCTGGGAATGGCGCGCAGCAAGAAGTCGTTCGGAAACCAAACGATATTGGCACACAGGTGAATCGCTGGTAGCTTCTTGTACATGTTGAAGACTTGCAGAAAGAACTTCTTGTCTGCGGTTCGCCATACCTGGAAGTGCAACGTGAACAGCAGGCACAGGGACAGGAACTGGAAACGCTGTTCCATCTCATTGTTCTCACCGATACGCGCTTCAAGGTAAGCAAAGATAGCTTTCATGTTGATTAGAAACTCTTCCATCAGTGTCGGATTGGCTGAAACAAGTATGTGCCCTTCATCGAATGGCTGTTCCAAGCAGTTAGCCAAAATTAGACCATCCATGAGCTCGCCCTCGAGTCTCTGCATCAGCTTCTCAAATGGCCGAAGCTCCTGGTCTTCGACACCAAAGCGAGATGCCTGACTATGCACAGATTTCATCATACGTTTGTACTGTGACCAGTGGTCCTTCAGCACAATGTTGCTAGCAATGATCTCATCCAACGTAAGCAGGACAGATAGCAACATGCCGAGATGCTCGTATACGATGCGGAAATGGACGCCGGCGACACCCATCACGCTCTCGCCAGTACCGCGCACTGGCGCCAAATGCAGTGATGCCAACTGGTGCATGATATTGCGGACCAGCTCATAGCACCTCTTGACAAAACAGGACAGTTCCTGAAGAGTTGGCAGAAGTCGTCCAAGTTGAATCTGTGCCTCACCCTCATCAAGAGATGCTGGGTCTCGATCACCGTACATGAGCAGTGGGTCATAGAACTTTGTCTCAGCTTCGGATTTCAAGCGCTTCACTTCTAAGCAGATGGCTGCTAACGCTATCAAAACCTTATTCAGCACTTTGTTGTCGGTTTTCACCAACTCCAGCAGTGTTGCCTGTTCCACTGGCTCCACAAGGAGACGGATGGGGTCAACATTGAAGTCCCATGCATCTCCCATCTTGACGTCCACAGCATCTTCGATGTCCCGCAGCTGGGAGGCATAGTCATCGAGAAATGTTCCAAATTTCTTGATTAGGACTTCCCCAACAATCTTCAAGGAACCATCGTCAAAGGAGTCAAACTCCCAGCCCTTTCCTCCATCACCAGGTCGTTTCTTGGACGACATGGCTACATGACTCCACAACTACAACATACAGTAGTTCAGCTGCTCCAGTGGATAAGGAACTGCGGAATCCCACAGATCTAACAATTACAACCTCTCACTAACAAAACACAAGTACAAACTCAGCAGAGACATCGCCTCCAAGGCGTCACCTCGGTCCCGGGTCTACTTCAAAAAAGCTGCTTCGCCATCGATGCATCCATTAGGCAGTACTGCAGTGTGCTGTATGCTGCATGCATGTGGCAAGGAGAGCTAGCCTACCTACGCACATAACAGACTCGATCTACAGAGTACAGCTACAAAGTACAGACAGTGTCAGCCTACTGTCACGTGTCAAAATTCTCTCAATGCACGATGGATGACGATGAGTATTACAAATGGTTGCACTTTGGGGATTATTCATACTTGATTCATTCGTATCGGCCGAATGATTAGATATTCATTCTGCGTATTTGTATTTTCAAGAGTACATAACATTATGTACTCTTGGTATTTTCAATCGTCAGTATTTACAATTGTATTTACAATCGTCATGTGCTTTGAAGAAGTGCCATAAACCCTGCTACAATTACAATCAAGAAAGAGTACGTTACATGACATTGTACTGTTACGACTACATACAAAACGTTCTCTACCAAAAAGCCCCCCCCCCCCCCCACACACACTCCTCTCAGTCCTTGGCACACACGCACACGGTGACACACACACCCACCTCAGCAAAACAGAGCGAAGTCAAAAGGCGGTCAATGTCCAGATGCAAAGTTGACACGCTTACTAATGGAAGCAAAAAACAGACCAGAAGATCGAACAGTGGTAGTCGCCCATTACAAAATTGATGTGATACAGGTATGATTACATGGAATATGGCTATACAGCCTGACAGCCAAACAGTCAAAAACTGCCTCAAATGATAATGTTAACTATGCAGCGTCTCTCTATGATAATACCAGAGAGTTGATTCCCTGGGTAGGACTTCAGTTCATTATGAGGAAAAAAATAGAATAACTGAATCATCAAAATGGTAACAGATTTGCGAAATTTTCATCGTCACAAACTAGTACAAAAACGCCTGGGAAAATTGGATGGTATGTACATGTACATGAACGTACTTCGAAGTAAAAGATATTGGTCTAGATAATATATGCTATTATGAAATTTGAAACCTATGATGAGTATTCTGCCGCTCAATTCCCCAAGAAAATAACATATGGGATACACATGAGTTTCCCTTGATCACACCGAAAATTATGGGACAGAAACGAACAGTACGAGAGCTACTACTTTATTTAATACTACATGCACCACAAGCCAGAATGGAGACCAGCCGTTCTGGTTTTGCGAGCAAGCCACACTGTGTGAGACAAGACAACGAGGGAGATCAGGCACGAGTATAAACATATGAACACAAACACACCGCCGCTTACATCACAGCAAGCCATAGTCGTCCTGGGTTTCTGCCTTGGACTTCTTCTTCTTGGGCTTCTTCTTTACTTCCTCTCCGCCTTCACTGGCTTGGGCTTTTTTCTTTTTCTTTTTCTTCTCCGTCGTCTCGGCAGAAGCTGCACCATCAACCCCGTCAACAGGCTTCTTTTTCTTCTTCTTTTTGGGCTTTTCCTGGAGCAACACACAAACAGTCGGAAGTTATTGTTAGTAGGAGTGCCTGTGCTCGTACACGCCTGTAGCTGGTTTCGATGGCCGATAGATTCTGACCATCATCTACTGGTACTTCAAGTACAACCCTGAATAATACATTCCATATTCAGAGAGCAACATATTTGCACATTCCGTCACACACCTGACATTAACAATGATTACATTGATACACACGAGAACGCACGAGCTAGTAACAATAGGACTTACCGCTTGGGCATCGGGAACTAAGGGCTCTGTGCAAGTCACACCACAGAGAAAGAAGCAACACAAGGAAAAGAAAGCATCTTGGTACGAGTGTCTATTCAACAGCCGCCCGTAAAATTGAAGGCAATGGTTGTAGGCAGGAAGTACAGTAAACTCCCCATAATCCGGGGGGGGGGGGGGGGGGCGTCCGTCTACCCGGCACATTTCTGACCCCATAATCCGGGCACGTCCGTCTACCCGGCACATTTCTGACCCCTCTAGAGTCACAAAAATCGGCTTTTCAATAAATGACGGCCCCGAATCAGAAAAAATGGAACATTGAAAAAAGTAGACTTGCATGCAGTAAGTATGTATGTTCTGAGTTACTGGCAATTTCATGTTCCGGGCAGTGCTTGGTCCCAACCAGCCCGGATTAGGGGAGTTATTGTAGTCAAATACATACATACTCCCTGGCTGTAGGTAAACAACATTAGCATCCCCTGGCCCGAGTGACATCGGCAGCACACCCAAACCATGACAGGGAACACAGCAATCCAGATCCGAAAAAACTTCACAGCAGTGACAGGAGAAACACTCGTGCAAGGCCAGAGGGGGAGAGGGGGCACTACATGCAATGTTGGGTGCCTGATGTTGAAAAGCAGCATAACAAACACATTAGGAGAAGCAGGGGCGTAGCTCGCGCATCCGTGGTGTGGTGACCGTGTATCAGACTGTGCATATGTGGTGTGGTGACAATGTACCATCGGCAACTTCATAGGTGCCATTTTGCCTATTGTGACTATGTAGTACATATGACGGCCATTTGCTGGTGCGGTGACCGGCCTATGCCGATTATACATGAGCTACACGCCTGAGAAGAGTCAGGATGTAAGTATATAGAGTACATGTATGTACACCTTACCACTGGAGAGAAGGCTGACTGCTGAAACAGGCTGTGCTGGCTCTTCAAACTAATGGAGGAAAGATAGCAGCAAAAGATAACAATGACAATGACCACCGCAGCAACAATAACAACAGTATTACTAGGAAGTGAGTGCTCCCAAAGGAGCCCAGCTAGTATCTAAGGCTAGCATAGTCACACGACAAGTTACTGTGTCCGATGCATTTCTCATTGCTACCATGCTATTCTCCACCAGGCTATCCATGACCAGGCTGTGTCACTTCCCAGCATGCAGTTGGTTCTCCAGCGGAGGTGCGGATAACATCTTGGCTGTCGAGTGAGAACGGCCAAAACTTGATGCCGCCGTACTGGACTGTGCATGGTCCTGTCCACCGTCCGGAATGCCTGCAAAGGTGCATTGGCATGGCTGTCGCTAAACAGCCACAGCTGTACATTACGTAGTTACAGTGTATGCATCGGTATGACACCATGTACTAATGTTAGTATGCCAAAGTCACTTCACAGAGAGACTATTGACACAAGGTGGAAACAAGAGAGAGAGAGAGAGAGAGAGAGAGAGAGAGAAAGAGAGAGAGAGAGAGATAGATAGAGGAGAGAGAGAGAGGAGAGAGAGTGACAGAGAGAGAGAGAGAGAGAGAGAGAGAGAGAGAGAGAGAGAGAGAGAGAGAGAGAGAGAGAGAGAACGGTACTGTACGGCATTAAAACTGCCAGAGCAAAAGTAGGGATGGTCGGCCCATGCCTGACAACTATAGACAGACAAAACATGGGAAAACAGCAAAGCTTGGCAGGATTCCAAGTCCAGACACAGACTCACAGCATTACATGGTACATGTATTTCATACTCTTGTGCATGTGCTCTCCCAACAAGCAGGTTTCACAGCTAACCTTAGTTGCTGGTAGAGCTCCACCATCCAGCCAATGGTCCATGAATCCAGTACCACCAGAATCCGGTTGTAGATCTGGACCCAGATCATCTTCCGCAACAGGGATGACTTTCTCGACTTGAACTTCATCGTCACTGTCTCCTTCAAGAGGAGCCACCATTGGTCCTCCACCATCTTCGCTGTCGGAAGGTTCGCTGGAGGACGGACCACGTGCTACTGCTGCTGCCGCCTTCTTGGCAGGCTTTTTCGCTTCCACCTGTGGAGATGCTCGTGGAGATGAAGACTTGGCTTTCGGGGCAGTAGCAGCTTTGCTTGTCTTTTTAGTTCTTGGAGGTGATGGCTCGGTAAAATCTTCGGCAACCACATCTTCAATGACTACCGGCTTTGAGGACTTGGGTTTTGCCTTTGTTACCTTTCTCACCGGTGGAGGAGAAGGCTCACTGTCAAAGTCTTCATCCGCAACCATAACAGCTGAGTTGACTTCAGGCACGCTATCAACATCATCATCATCTGCAGCGATGACAGGTGCAGGAACATCATCATCGTCATCGGACACATCTTCCACAGCAGCAGTCACATGTGATGTGTAAGCACTGTCAGCTACATCATCCGAGTCAACGTCATCGAAACCTGCCACTGCAGGACGGCCATCATCACTGTACACATACACAGAGACATGTACACACGCGTGTGAACACACACACACACACACACACACACACACACACACACACACACACCCACACACACACGCACGTACGCATGCACGCACGCACACACACACACACACACACACACAGACACACACACACACATACACAATATGCCTATGGAGAAGAAGGCTGCACAGCAAGAGAAGCTGATAATTCCATTACCGTACGTGGCAAAAGAAAGTGCTCCACGTACAGCATAAACAAGAAAAATATAACAGAAAATTCTGCACGAAGGGATACTAGTACTCAGTACGGGACACATAATTATACGCAATCCAACAGCAATCTGTAGAAAGACATATTCAAAATTTTAAAATATTACTTACCTGTCATCGTCATCATCATCTTCTGGAATACCTGCTGGTGCTACTACTGCTCTTGTCGATGCCACTGCCGATGTATGTGTTGCATCATCACCAAGGAAATCATCACTCAGGCCACCCTCTGGGACAAAGTCTTCCACATTCTCTGCAACGTCTGCTTTGGGATTGCGTAATCTGGCTTCCCGAGCAGCAGCAATCTGAGCTGCAGCACCATCAGCTAAAACAAAGACAATTCAAACAGACAACAAGGAATACATGTTTCTGCTTATGCTTTCAGTAGCACACGCACGACAGACAAAAGGAGCAGCTCAGAGAATGCAGCAAAGCTCCAGCTGGGCAGGGTGTCATGCCGAGCCCAGGTTGCTTTGATGTCATGTGTACCTTACATATCATACACAAAGTATGAAAGACTGGTGTATTGCCGGACCAATTGAAAACTGCTTCCGCCAGTCATGCACAAGACCGCCACCGCCAAGGGTGCCACTGTTCTATGGCCTCACATGTGACTATGTGCAATTGTCAATCTGGCTTCAGAGACAACCCGTGCTCAAAGACCGCAAAGGGCCTGATCAATGGATGAACATCGAAACCAGGCTTTATCTGGACAAGCCGCGGACGATATTGAAAACACTGGCACGCCCGAGGCCAACCATTCCTACCTGGCTTAGCAGGCGTTGTGTCTTTCTTCCATCCCAGCCTTGATGCAAAGCGTTGACTAAAGGATGAACCAGTCGAGGGGGGAGTGGCAGTTGTGCTGGCTGGTGTTGGTGTTGCTGCACTTGCAGTGCTGGCGGCGGTGCTCGGTGGTGGTGCAGAAGCAGCGCCAGCACGGGCAACGGTCGCTGCACCAGCAGACACAAAAGCACCACAACACAGAAACACAGCAAACACAGCAAGCAGTAGGAAAACAATAAATTAGTATACATGATCATGCAGTGTAAAACTTACAACACATTCACACACCGCCACCGTTTCTTTACAGCCCAGCTATCCGGGAAAAAATGACTGGTGAAATAGCGAAACATTGCTAGTGCCCCCCCCCCCCCCCCCCTGTCTGGCCATCTTCTTTCAACATGAGGAACCCATGGTCAGCATCAACAGTTTTTATTAGCTAATCAGCAGCTGAAAGACTGACTCACCAACTAATACTACAGTGCTGCTCAGTGAAATCCAGTCGCGTCACTCAAGTTTGCGCCTTGGCATCATTTCGTAGCCCAGTGTTCACAAGTCTAGGGCTGCGCAACGCCCGGCACGTACTTGAGTGACGCGACTGGATTTCATTGAGCAACACTGTCGTACGAAATAGTAGTCCCGACTTCAGCGATGATTTTTAGGAAAGGGGTTGCTCCCCACACTGGACCTTGCGCTATTCCACCGACTTGACACTTTAAAACGCTGTAGTAGTCAATAGATTCATGCTCCTTTCAAAGCTCGGAAAGGATGATACTGATGCCGTGATGGTGAGTCAACCAACACCAGTATTAACACAGTAACACAGAGGACAATTCACAACAATACATTACCTAGTCTGAACTTAATTACATGAGGATGGGCCATGCCCGAACGTTTGGCGAACGTCGAGAGATTTTTCGCAGCGAAGACACCACACGCGAGTGTTCAGACTAGGGAATGTGCAGGCAGCTGCAATGGAGTTCGCCAAACAAATACAATCATGTAGGATATTTGAAAATTGTCATTTTGACAGATTTTTTCTCTTAAAAAAATACTTCATAAGGTCGTCTTACGAGGTGTAGTCCGCGAAGCTGCAGCAGGTGTGGCTTGTGCTGATCGTGCTGCTGCTGTGGCTGGGGATGGCCTCTGAGCAGTGGCTGGGGATGGCCTCTGAGCAGTGGCTGTGGCTTGTGTGGCACCTGCATTTGCTCTTGTCCCTGCTGCAGATGCCTCGTCAGGGCCAGCAGCAGCGGCTGCCTCTGCAGCCTTCTGCTGAGCCAAGTGGTCAGCGAACTCCTTGCGGCGTTTCTCAAGGCCTTGCACAAAGCTACAAGGAAAATAACGAAGCAAAAACCAAAACAAACAAAAACATTGATCAGTTTGAGGGATAGTTGGAAACGGGAAACAAAAAAACACATAGCACTAAGCATATAAGTCTAGGTAACAGATCAGGTCTGGTCTCTGCAATCTACTTTGTCTTGATATGTAGGTAGCTGAGAAGCCAGGGCAGCGCTCTTACACACCTATCACAGACATCACGTTTTAGAACGACCCACATCAGCACAAATCCTCACAGCTAATCCAACCCTCCTCACCAAGTGCCAATGGCTGCTCACAATGTGGACAGTGCTTATTCCTACAATACTGTCAAGTAGCATACCCTGCCACAGAAGCGATACATCAATTGCAAGCAAGCAAAATATCCAAAGGGGAAGTGGTCCAGGTGTGTATACTGATGCAGCAATGTGTGTGCAAACAAATACACAATGCAGTTCAGCAATGTTACTATGTAAGGTAACTTAGGAAAGGTTACCTCAGCTTACCTGTCATAGTTCTGTTCTTCTGACTCCAGATGGAAGTTGAGCTCCTCAAGCGTGCTGTTCAGATCGTCTTCATTTGTTTTCAGCTGTGCCAGTAATGTTGCTCTCTACATGCAAGAACCAGTGGAGTGCAGATGGGGAAAGTAAACAAACAGGTATAGGACCAAGAGACAGGTTCCCATGGGTTCATCTGCTGCGACTGATGAGCACAAGAGTATGCTGGACCTCACACACACCATTGTCAATGAAATCAACACTGGTCAAAGTCCTCAGATAGCAAAAAACAGGCCCTTGTAGAGGATCATGTTCATTTACTAAACGACTAACTACAGTCCATTTCAAAACTATAGACGCGTGAACTCATACGTACGAGTCGTACGTACTGTAGCGCACGACAGCCGTGAGTTTTGCCTGAGCGTTTTCTGGTTTTCAGATGTGTTTTTCAGGTTTTTCTTCGTCGCCGCGGGAAATACAAAAGATGCAAAACACGCAAAGTCGCAAATGAAAAGGTACTATAGGTGTGAGGAAAGTCTCAAAAGAAATGAAAGTCTCAAATGAATCTTCTTCTTGTTTGCATTTTCTGAGTGCCTGACTGTAATGGCTTCCAAGGCCCGTAAGAATCTCAGTGATGCCGAGAAAGATATGATTAGTCGTGTTCATTGTTTCTTCGAACAAGAGCTGGATTTTGATCGAAGCTTGAGTATCCGAAATCCTCGGCGTCGAACTCACCTTGCAACTGGCGTGAGTGAAACCACTGTCACTCGTTGTGTCAGGCGAAGAGAACAGGGAGACTCAAATCATATCAAAAAGAGAAAATATAATTATCATCCCTACTGTATTTCACCCAACAAGATCCAAAACATGCAGAAAAGAAGAGAAAAAAAAGGCAGGAGGCGTGATGGGATTCGAATGCCCCACGGCCACACTTGTACTGGAAATCACGGATCGAAACCACGAGGCTACCAGGACCCGTACAAAAATGCACCCGCGATGGTCTGGGCGCAGCACTGTCTCAGCAGGAGCAAAAATCCGAAACAAACTGGTCAAACCCTTCAAAACAGGAATTACATGTAAAACCGGAAAACCTGGCCTAAAAATAAACTTCAATTGTAGCGAAAACAAAGTATATAGCCAGAATTGTGAAGCGATGCAGAGACGGAATCTGGAGAAAAACTAAAAAAATTAAAATAAATCCCATCGAATTTTGCAAAACACTACGCGTCTATAGTTTTGAAATGGACTGTAGTAGTGCTGGCAAAAGAGAAAATATATGCCAAAGTACAAAGCTCTGAGCAAGCACCAGAAATCTACAGATAGCAGCGCTCTAAATTTAGGCAGTTGAAACCTATATCCAGACACTCTGTGACTCAGTGAGAAAGCAATTCAACCATCCAGAACACAGCACAATCAGCATACCTGCAATCTGAGGAATGGCAAGTTGAAGAACTTATGAAGGTACTTGAGACCAAAGGCATTTTTCATTGATACTTCAGCATAGCGGATTTCACCAGCTTCTTCAGGTCTAATGAAAACAGCAAAGAGAGACATAATTTGCCACAGCATCAGCAACAAAAGATATGACCTAAAGGGAATATCAGAAATCAGGAACCTAGCTCTAGTGCCTATTCAGGTTCCTTCACAACACATACCAAACCACACCGACAAGCACATCAATAACATCAAATGATACCTACCTGTCCAGTGACCCGAGAAAATATTCCACTTCTTCTCGGTCCACAACGCGGTGCTCGCCCATATCACGGAAGTTTCCCTACATTGCCACACAGTGCAAACAAAACAGGAATGTTCAATATTTTGCAGAGTACAAAATCACTCTGATGTTGATACTTGGAAGTACAGTCAACCTTGTGAATAACGACACTCAATTGGGCGCTCGAGAAAAGTGCTGATAGCCTGATACTTGCGAGTTGTCGTTATTCGCAAGGTTGAAAATATGCAGTCAAACGGTTACTAGGTCTGAAAAAGTGTTGCTATTCGTGAGTTGTTGTTATACCTGAGGTTGTTATTCGCGAGGTTGACACCCAAACAGTGCATGAAACATGGATCTGCATGTATGTTGATTTGATAATCGTTATGTTTCATGGCTCGGGTGAGAACTGAGATTTCTTAAATTTAGCGTCTTCCGCACCTGTTGGGATGTTGCCACCTTTCTTGAATCTAAGGTGTCAAAGGCAGAGCCTATGGGTAAGCCCACCACAGCTCACTTGATGACCAATCCAACATTCACAGCCACCCATCAGCAACAAACAGTAAAACTCAGGCGACATCAAATGATAATTCAAGCACAGGCGGAAAGATGCAGGTAGGAGGCATGCCTACAGAAAGAAACACATGTCAAAACATTGACAGGAACATGAAAACACCTACAAGTATAATGATTGGTACGTGCGCCGGAACTTGCTCAATTTCACGCTGAATATATTTCCATGTCCTGTGTAAACACCATCACAAAACCGACAGCCAAAAGCACAAAAATTAATGGCATCAGAAGAAAGAAAGTCAGGGAATAGGTGTGCTTTTCCAATTATTGGTACAAGTACATGTGCTGCCATTGGACGATGCTAGTCACAAAGCTGTTGACAGATAGAGACATTTGGCAAAGGTTCTCACTGTGTCTTCGCAAACGTCCCGTGGACAAATGAGGAAATCCAATGTAATTTTGAAACATAACAGCATTTATAACCAGCGAGGGCAAACATGAAAATATTTCACAGGTCACCCGGCAATGGTGTTGTAACATACTGCTTACCAAGCCTTGCAAATGTCCATCATCATGATCACTCCATTTGTGTTTTTGTAGACATCCACAAAGCCAGCATCCAAATTCGGAGAAGCAGAGTCCGCCTATGCCAATGGATGGACAAATGGACAAAGGCACAGAATTATACAAATAACTCCACAGCACGCAGGAGTAGATTAAACATCACAAACTGATTCAGACACACTGGCAACGTCATGCACTGGCAAAGTTAACTGGCTTACCGGTTCTGCTGCAACCTCTTCATTCTGCAGCTTCAGTGAGGCGCTTCGGGCGCGCTGTGCTGCAGCACCTACAGAACAAAAACCGCCAGCAAACAAATCCCAATAAACTAAGTAGACAACAGCAACTGCATAAGAGAAGGCAACATGTCCTTTAGCAATCAATCAGGCACAACTCAGCCGAAAACTAAAATTCGGCTCCTTCCAGGATTGGGAGATTGAACAGAATCAGCAAAACAAAAAAGGAGAAGTGGCTCTGGAGCTTTCTGGATTGTCTTAGAATAGCACAAACCTTTGTCCACGACATCCCACACTTCAACCTTCACAACATCATCTGATGCTACATGGAAGAGACAAAGAAGAAGACAGACAGTTGTATAGAAGAGACTCCAGTGGTAGGAAAGTATGCAAGTTTCCATGAGAATGGCTTCAGGAAATCACACAAAGAGGAGACAAACATGGGTAACACTTGAGTACACAACCATTAGCTTATAGGCTTGCTATGGGGTCGTTCATAAATAAAGACCCCCCCCCCCCCCCATACCCTTCAAGTTCCTCCGTTCCTAGCCCTTCATCCGTTTCAACACACTCTGATCTGCTGCTACTTCTACACCGCCCACTTTCGGCTCACTTTTCTTCTGTAAATGTACCGCCTTTGCTTACTTTGTATATGTACATGGTACCATTGTGTTGAAAATCTACCTGCATTGTGTTCATTTTGCCCGCAAAAGAGGATGAGTACAGACTTGTCTACACCCCTGCATACAACTTGGTCACGCCAATGTATTCAACTGGTTCGTAGCCTTGCATACAACTTGTCACACCCCTGCAGGACAAAAGCATGAGATAGCCTGATATCAGACACCGCTACCTGATGATTGCCTACCGAGTGGAAGAGCAAGTCGCAGCAATATTCGTCCTCAAGTCGTCCTTATTCTTGTGCAAAACGCTACGCCACTACTGTATAGACATTGAGTACTGTGCATACATGCAGGCAAGGATTTTTGTGACATTGGCATGACTGGGTTTCTTACCTCTGTAGTTCCAGTGGATGCTGGCAGCCTTCATGAACAAGTCATAGTCACAGCCGTTGTAGTAACATCGGAAAGAAAATTGAGAATGGCAACGACAACAATGACGACGAAGATGACGCCGCCGCCGCCGATAACAACAACAACAATAGCGGCAGCAGCAGCAGCAACAGCAACAGCAGCAACAACAAAAACAGCAACAACAAAAACAGCAACAGCAGCAACAACAACTAAGTGCATGCAGACAAAAATTCACGGTTGTGAAACTCAGCTAGAGGCCAAGTCCGGATAGTAAATAACGGCTCTTCTGTGGATGGAAATTGTGGGCACAAGTTATGCGATCGGGTCCACCAACTAAACCAGATTTTGAACAGTCAGACGTGCACAATCTAGCAAAACTTGTGCCCACAATTTCATTGTTACAATTTTTTTCCTTGGCTCACCATCTGAGTTCTTCTGTGGATGTGATTACATATACCAGTAACCTGTACAACTACATCACATGTGTACATCCAGACCTTGCTTATTGGCAACATCAGGTTTCCTTAGTAACCGGCAGGAATCTGTATGGAACGGGATTATAATACTGTATACACCAGTACAGTCGAATGTCACTTATCCGGTCACCAGTTATCCGAGCACGTCGGTTATCCGACAAGCCCCGGAGTGGTAATTTTATGATTATCAACAGTAAAATTCTAATTTTTTATTTATTTTTGTATATTATACGGTGTAATACGCATTTACTTGAAGTAGATGTGGTCAAGTATGCTAACATGTATGTGTACATGGAGCAATTCATGAATATGCATGAATATATTCGGGTATTGTGTACATAAATCAGTGAAATCCAGCCATATGTGCACATAAAAAATGATATCAGTTATCCAACATATTCAGTTATCCAACATGCCTGATTCCCGAAGTGGTCGGATAAGTGACATTCGACTGTATTTGCATGCACCGCAACATGTTCTTCGACTACTGGGTTTACGCACCTCATCTGATGTATTCGTGTAAACCGAAATGAATGTATGCAGTCAAACTGGTCTGACTGAATTCCAGATTAGAAGTCCAAGCAAGGATGATGGTGTAGCAGGTGGCAAAAAATGCAATACAGAATTTTAAGCTCACGCCGCGACGCCCGTTCGTGTACAGCTCTGCCCTGGTAAATCGGACAAAAAGTGCACAAGGCACTAGGTTGTAAACTGCCCCAACAGCACAAACACTTAGCAGCATATTGGAGCACTGCAAGGTCCTAGTCTGCAGGTCAGACTCCACAAACCCGCACTACTGCATGCCAAGTATTAAAGATGCCAGAGTATTAAAAAAATCGCATCGGTTGAACATGCATCATACCGTGATTTCCTGTGACGGCACATACGATTCAAAGAATTTCTCTCCTTGTAACCGCTTGAGCAAGCATGTTTTACCAGTGTTGCGATCTCCCTTGATGATGACTTTCACTGCATCAATACAGCATGCATCAGACACACAGGAACACATAGTCACAAACTTAGTCACACGTATACATGAAGTCACACATGTCGGTCGACTAAACCACTTCTCTCAGGGAGAATTACAGCATGTCAGTTGAACACAACTACATGTACCGGCATTCGCATCGTGCACAACTGCCTGTGCAGCTATGCATGGTTAAAGCATGACGGCCATACACTAGCACTAATCAAGGGTGCTAGTGCCCTCCTACTCTGCTTGAGCACCCCCCCCCCCCCCTACTCATTCGTTGCTTTTTGTGTTTTCATGCCATTCAACGAAAATCCAGTCTGCCCCTGCACATTGCATTTTGCATATCAAGACAATTCCAGAAAATGGGAGACGGGGTAACCGCCCCCCCCCCCCCCCCCCCCCCCTACTATTTCGACCTGGCTAGAACCATGATGTTATTGCACCCTATACATAAACTGTACCGAGTAGTCTTTATCTACTTGAAGTAATAGTAAAACTGGGAAGCGACACCGTGGTGGGGGATCAACGGCACTTTACGGTGAAACACGATGCTGATTTCAAGAAGAACAGGCGGAGAACAATTTGTGAACGAAGTGTATACGAAAACAGTGAATTTCCGGCATGACAGACCCTAGGGGCAGCGTGGGCACTTGTCTTTTTGGATGAAGCTAATGAAGGACACTCAGAGAGACTCTCTGACTTCACAAGTGTGTTGGACAAAACCCAGGGTTCTAGCCAGGTCAAAATAGTAGGGGGGGGGGGGGAATAGTTAGTAGTTGCCCCGTAACCCATTTTCCATGTTCCCAAATTGTCTTGCCATGCAAAGTGCAATGAACGGGGGGGGGGGGGGGACCCCGACTTCACCCCCAGATAAGTGTGCCTTTATGAACCCTCTGTTAGTGACTATCGACTGCAATTTTGTTGAATTACCTGAAAAGCACAAGCGTCAACATGGGTGTGTGTGTGGGGGGGGGGGGGGGGGGGGGAGGTCGGGACCACATCTTCACAGGGGCACTCAATCAGAGTAGGAATGGGGGGCTGCCCCCCTCCCCCCCCCCCCCCCACACCCTCCTTTGACTAGAACCCTGAAACAGTCATGCCAATCTGGGTATTTTTAAACTATTTTTCCACCCTTCCGTACCTGTCCAGTGCCAACCAAGCCCCGGATAATCTCCATTGATTACAATTTTTCACAGGGTCACGAGGACAACCCCGTGGACCGCCCATATGCACAGGGTCCATATGGGAGACATTGCAATCGTATGCTTTTTGCGTGGATGTGCTGCGGTCCCATGACGATGATGTTGGACAGCTTGCTTCATTCTTGCATAGCAGGCCTCCGCGATAATACTCTTACACTGCAAGTACATGTAATGCAAACACTACATACTAGTAATTGCGCCCTGATGTTACACTGACTTAGTTCATCACTTTAAGCAATCAAAATTATTATCGTCTACACAGTAAATCTCTCAGTTTCGAATGTGGAAGTTTCTTGGCCTGTAGCAGCATCCCCCCTCATGGTTCATTGCTGTCCTAATATTTATGTCCGAATCTGTCACGTCAACTTACTGTTGTATTGGACGCCTTTCGCAAATTTCCTTTGCAGCTGCGAGCCCATTGCTTGCATGCCTTGAGGGAGGCTGCCCCTCGCAGCTCCAGCGCTCTGCTCGTTCCCCATTTTGCTCTACGGTCTCAGCAATCCACGGGACGTAATTCTTCTACATTTCTAACAGCAACATGCAAGACCAAAATCGACTACACGGAGCTGCCCCTGCTTTCGTGCTCAGAATAATTCAAAGCCCCAGGCCGCAGCCTTCAAAAGGTTCGACAGGCAAAGCTAAAGTCAAGACGGTCGATCGACCGATTTCAGTCTTTCGAGACTTTTTTTGTGTTGTTTTCAAAAATGTGCAAGCTGGATGGATATCTAATCTGGCGCCAGGCCGCCAGCTGGCTTGCTGCCACGTGTGACGGTGCACGTGATCCGACCGGATCTTCCCAGGAGTCAGGACTCAGGACCCCCCCCCCCCCCCCCCCTCCCCCGAGGATATGCCGTGCCGGTACGCTACCAGGCCGGGGCCCGGGGGCAGGGACCAGGGAGCACTACACGAACAAGAGAAGAGTACAACTAATTACTTACAAGACATAAGCTCCCATACATAGCCGGCAGCATAAGCATAGGTTGGGCTCCCTGGCTTGATGCACACCATGACGTACCAGCAAGAGTCCATAGTCACCCAGGGGGTTACGGACGCTTTTAAAAGCGCTTGCCAATATCGAGTCGTACTTGGACAAATAGCGTGCAAGTACAGGCAGACGACACAGGAGACAACCAAGTGATGGGAGTTTCACTCCCAGGGAGGCTACCCGTTCCAGTCACCCCTATTGTAGGCCCCTGTGGGGCAGGGCCGATTTATGCACTCACATTTTTGCCTTTGGAGTTTGGTATCGCTAGACTGGGTCTCGTTTAGGGTCAGCAGGCACTAAAGAGCCACTACTACTAAACTTCTAAAGGCGGTGATTGCAATCCCGAGTTGCAAAGACCACGGATAATATACAATTTACAAATCCGGGGCCAAAACGCACCTCACATCGGGTACCAGGATCTCGTGGTGTCCCCATGTACGCTAGGACTCCTTGATATACGCGCAGATGTGTACTTCAATATGCCAAATCTGATATGCCAAATTATCAGTGAAGCAACCCTAATGCGTTCTCAGAAACGAATTCTTGATAAATTAATCATTTTGCTCTTCGTAAGAAGTCCCATTGCATTGAAGCTGCAAAAGATTTTGAATGTCGTTGAAACCAAACCCAAATCTAACCTATAACCTAAAAAAATAAAATAAAACAAAACAAAGCAAAAGAACCCTTAAAATTACAGCAAAAATAAAGACAGTTCCACACATATTTCCATTACAATAGCATGCAGCAAAGCAGGTACTGATAAAATAGGCAAAATGCTTGCAGAACGTTACAGCGTCCATCAAAGCTACAAGTAAATGGCTGGGAGCAAGTAATGGATAGCAGCACTGAGGAAGAACAGCTTCACGGATAAGTCAAGTCAGACATGTCACACACTTCTTTGGGAGTGTTTTTCACATAGCATAACAATACACCAATTCCTTTACCAAAATCAGTTGGACACAGCATTGCTTCATTGAAGTGCAAAAGAAAATTCAGTGATGTGCTAGGTGGAAGGCTCGAATGCCTAACAAACAATCGGGAGCTTTGAGCTAGCTGATTCAAGCAGAGTCGTTTAGATGTATCTTATTGACTTTGCTCTTTGTTATTGTCACATTGCACCAGGAGGCAAGCCGCTACCATCACTTGAACCAGAAAGATTGAGAACAGACGGGTCATACTCAGTACCTTTGAATGGCGATCCCTCAGAGTTCCACGCTTTCTCGAGCACTGACAATGTCTTTTGCTCATTACTGGTTGGCAGGCCTTTCCTTTTTTGGTCATTGTCATACATAGCCTTTCGCACAACAGTCTGGGTTTCGTCATCATAGTCTGTCAGCTGCCGTGTATTGTCAGTCTTGTTCAGGTCAATCTCCGGGCCATCAATGAACGCAGATTTCCACATGCAGTCTTTGTATTTTTCCAAGCAAATTTGTAGTTGATCACCATCTTTACTCCACATGCATTCAGGTACTCGCACTCGATCAAAGAGGTCACCATCTAGAAGGACGACGTCTGACCCGTCTTTCTGAACGGTAACAGAAAGATGGTTAGTTTTAATGTCAACACAAAGCTGGGATGCCTTCGTGCCCTTTGGCAGTGGTACTTTGATGTCCACGTCGGTCACTGTTTGAGACCAGGAGAACAGGTCAGTTTTAGCACCATTATAAATCTCACTGGAATCAGTGCTTGGCATTGTTGTTGAGGATGATGAGCTTATTGTAACATCAGCCGCTGCCTCTGGAATAGGTTCGTCGCTGACCATGCTCTGGGTATTCGATGCAACCTGGCTGCACTCGGGTGGTGTACTATCTGCCGTACTATTCCCACTTGTGTCGCTTGATGGTGTAACTTCAGCTTTGGATCGCGGCGATGTACATGTCACATTGGTTTCGCTCGTTGATGGAACTTCGGCTTTGGGCTGCGGTGTTGGTTGCTTGGGTTTCACGACTACGCTTTCTCTTGCACGGGCCATTTTTTCATACTTCATAAAATTCTGCACATGAACACACATAAAGTTACAACGCACATAATTGTCAGCGATAAAGAATACTACAAGTGTCATAGCGGGGTCAGCAGCTGACAGTTCCCCAGACTACGGCGGCAAATCCGGCATGCTGGCTGGATGTGTTCCTCTCATACAGGAAGCTATGATGTTCTGCTATTTGCGTACATCGTAAGACATCCCCATGTGCTACTTTGCATGTGATTATACTATTACTTGACTGCGACTGTGGCACTAGTACTATGTTAATTTGTGCACCCTATTACACTGTACTTGAATGTCGCACTAGCATTATAACGTGAATCTGCTATTGTACCGTTAGTCAAATAAGACTCTCTCCGTGTTTGTATTTCTTGCTCGCGTCTCTCTGTGTTGCTCATTGCCATTGGTCAAATCTTGACAACTCTTTACATCGATGAAGAAAGGAAAAGGACAAAATGTTACGAGTTATGACAAACTGTCCACCAACGTAACCAGATCTTATACAGTCAGCGAGTGCGACAAAGTCCTTTTCCTTTCTTCATCATAACTATATTGGCTCACCGATCACGATTGATTATTATATTTTTGCTGCAGCTAACTGGTTAGGTTTCCTAACCATTGAGCCTTTCAACAACGCATAAACTGCTGCTGTAATCTGAGCCAGAGGCGTCGGAACCGGTCTGGCAGGTTCGGCCAATGCTGCACCAATGATGCAACCAAGGATTTCATCTTGTGATTTTGAAGCAATGAAATATGGGCTATTTGGGCTCAGTTAAAAAAATTGGGGGGGGGGGGAGGGAGGGCCCCGCCCCCACGTTTTCATAGCCGCACCAATGTTGAATATCTCCTGGCGCCCCTGATCTCTGATCTACCCAATCAACTTTCCTCACTGACATCTCTCTTTGAGCAAGAATAAGTCTGTGTTGATTGACTCCTGATGAATGCCACAAGAAAACGTTTGAATCGTATCTCGGCTGGTGCATTGACTGCTAATGTGCTTAAGAAAAGAAAGTTCAAACACATCTTGCTAGCAAGACCGGCTCTCACTACAATGAATAACTATGGCCCACATACATGCCTGACGAGCTTTTCCGCGATGCCTGGCATGAACCCAGCCGTGTCAGCCTCGCTCTTCATTACCAAGTAAAAGTCTGTGCGACGGTAAAGGAAGTTGAAAACATGCTCGAGAAATCCATCCATTCTACCAAGGTGTGACAGTATTGGTAGAAGGGCACTGTCAAATCTGCCTTCCTCTGCTGGATCCATTCTGGACGAAGCTTGAAGGGCAGCAATACGACTAACCAGTCGAGTGAGTCCAAGTATTTGGAAATGTCCCAGGATTCAACACGGCACACAAATGAGTTCACAATCACACACTGATTGAAATGAACTAATTTTTTTACTTGAAATGGTAAAGTGCTGTATTATAATGTCTTTTTGTACTGTGCAATTCCTGCAAGACATGCATCCGGTGCGTCTCTCGGCGTTCTGTTTTGCCATGCCAACCGGTGTTTCCCCTAGATGGCATGATGTCACTGTGAGCATGAGCAGCGGTGAGATTTTTTTGGTTTTCACGATCACAAACATGATCATGCTTTGCCATTCAAATAATTCAGTGCAGTTTGGTGTAGAATAAAGTAGTTACAGCAGTTGTTTGGAAGGCCTGTATATATATCCGCACAGGAATTAAAACAGGTTTGAGGAGAGGATACTTGCCGGTGGTCTTCCTGGTTCAATGGATGGTCTCCTAGAAGCACCACTGAACGCACCCAAGCGACTTGTGTGCGTCAACTTTCCTGGTAAGATTTTTCTGCCTTGTACCTTTTTTAGCTCCTGTGAAATCATTTTCTGAAAAAGAAGAATTATGGCCATACTACAGAACAGAACAACAAGGACAATCAAGGCTTGTTTGCTGCGACTTGAAGTTTCATGCTCTCGCAATCATCAGGCAACGTGTTGTTCTGTTCTGTATTACGCTCTGCCCCGCGGTGTTGAGCACTGTCAGCACACTGGGTACACCCTCCGGTGGCCATATATTATACAAGTTGTAGTTACCCAATGTTATAGCAAGAGTATATAAGCCCCGGGGGCATATACTCTTGGTTATGGTTATACTAAAATACATAAAACTCTCCTCCATGAGTCTAAGCCGACCATTGCTACCCTAGGCAGCCATTACCAAGAGTACATAAACCAGAGTGTGCAACTCAGGATGGTTCCTGTGGGAGCGTATTTCGTGCAGTACGCCACTTCTGACGGCATGGTAAGCCACAGGTACGGTGAAAAGTTGCGTAACCAGTCATGGCGGTGCAGGTCACTGAGTTTGTCCTGATTTCGGATTTTTGATACGGATAGCCTGGTGAATTTACTTACCAGTGGATGTACGCAGCAGCGTACACAGTCACACAAAACACCGAAATCCTAAAACAGGATGTCTAACATCATGCAAACTTGGCTGATTTCCGGGCTGTGAAACACATTTTAGCTGTACGCAAGTCGCGGCTTGGCTGACCTCATCAGGGTGACGTAGTGCACGAACTTGGCTGTTTCAGATCTGATATGCACGGTTGCACACTCTGGTTTATGTACTTGCCATTACTCACACCAATAATTTCAAACAACGAAGGGGTCACGGGTGAAACATTTGTTTCCTTCTGACAGCTATTTCGCCTATCAAAGGCTCTTCAGAGAAGGTGATACTGGATATTGTGATTGACATGGCAGAATTACTAGTAATATTTATATTAAAGGTATATTATGGGCGCAATACACTAGGCAAGGTTTAACACTGAGAACGTAAACGAATATTCTCCAAGCAGCACACAGTGCCCAGGGTTCTAGGAAAGATAGCAGGTGACAAACTATATTCGTCCCATCACAAGCTGCTAACATTTTGCATGGCTCGATAATGCACAGGTACAATCTACAAGCGTGTATATAGAGGTCTTTCCAATGAGTCATGCCGTGCGGCCTATGAGGATTCGGGCCAAAGATCATCGAGTTCACCACCGATCACCGGACTTGAAACGGAGCTTGGGTGGCAAAAAAAGAAGACTGCACTGGAAGGAAACAGTGTTTTTCGAAAGCAGTTCCATTTTGCATACTGTAGTTTGAGAATACCAAAGGGCTGCTCGCGATCGGATGTTCTCACACCTGGATCATCTTTGAGTTGTTATCGTTTTCCCTACGATGGAGAACGACGGAACCAGTGGATGACGGACACACGACTCGAGAACTTCGCTCCTGATGCAAATACTTCGAAGTACACGAATATTGTTCCATCGCTTCGTTGGCGAAGAGAAAAGTCATGATTATCCCCTGTCACCCCAGTACGTATCGAACTAACTAACCAACTTGTTCAGCTCATTTGTGGCAGCACCAGTAAAGGCGGAAACACGAAGATGATTCCGAACACTATCAACTTACTTAGTTTGTTGGGGTGCAAGGTATAGCTGGAGTTTGATGATTGATTGGGCTGATGCTGATGGTAATGACTAATGTACCCAGCTCTATGCACGTACCTCTACATGACTGGTGGTGCTAGCTATTCTAGTACTGGCCCTGGGTGCAACTCATCATCTCTTCCATGCCAGTGTGTATGCCTCATGTTCTGCACAACGTGTATTTCCTTTGTCATGGATAAATACTCTGATCGACCTAGTTGCGCAATCTTCTTCTGCTTCCCACTTGGTTGCTGCGCTGTGCAGTTCTTCATCTGCTGCGGCACATACTAGTTATTAGTAGTATACCTCATATTCTGTCTTTCTGGTCAATTAGGTACATGTATTCAGCTTCTTGATCTTCTTGTGGTGAGGATCATCTTGATCTTACTTCTTGTGTAACTCTTGCAAAGGCAGTAATGGAGGACACTCTACCGGTAATCAGCAACTGCTTATGGAGAATGCCAGGTCGAGGGACGACCAGGAAAAACAATTGCTGTATTGGATGTGCATTCATCAGCGTGTTTTAAGATCAGGACAACTAAGTAAGTTCGCCACTACACCAACTTTTTGGCTACATAGGAGCAATGATGATGACGGCCGTGTTTGATCACGACTTTGTCAGTTTTCGTGCTACCAGCCACCGCATGTCAACATTGTCATACTCGTACTGATAAGGAAGAAAAACCCACACACGCACGCACACACACACACATGGATACACTGACAGGCATGCAAAGCAAGAGAGACAGAGAGAGAGAGAGAGTCAGGCAGCGAAAGAGAAGTGAGATTACTTGTAGGTTATGGGCAGGGTGCTCCAATTTCTGCCCAGCTGAAGTAAAATCCATGTACACTATTTTCGTGTAGTGTTCATTGACGGTGCCAGCCACTGGTGACCCAGTGGTGTAGGTGTTGACATTCAGCACACATCACATTTCAGTCTCCAACGTAAATTCAGTCAAAACAACACTGCACTGCAGCAACATAGGAACATGCTTCTCCCAGGCCCACCATGCAAGTGCAGTGTGCGCCAAGAACAATTCCAGGTAATTCAGCAGCTACCCAAGGATGGACAGGTTCGGCAAAAACACTCCGCGAGTGCCTGACGTTTGCAAACGTATTTTGTTGACAGTTGTTGTTTCTTCCTTCGATTGGGCAAGACACGATAATGTGCCAACTCAGCCAGCAATGAGACACATGCATTTGTATCCATCAGGGCTATTGTAAGACTTTAGAGAGTCCTTTGCATATGTGCTGGGGACATTCACTAAATATTTAGAGAGGCCTGGATACCCAACGTAGGGGGATTGGCTGAAAGGTCTTCGTCCATAGGTAAATATGGATCAATGTACTGGGCCCACGGATTCTGTCAATCTTCTCGCGGCAACGCCTCTTCAAGGCTGGAATAAACAGTAGAGTAACTACGGCTAGTAATCCTCGCGACTTACCGAAACTATTCACCACATCAAAGAAAAGCAAAAGTGCTTCACCACTGCGACGGCCTGCAACATCATTTTCAACCGTACACCGAACAACACATTTGATTCTCTTTTTGCCACCCAAGCACATTTTACCGTAGGACACGGACTTGTCTTATGGGTGATCTTTGGGTGGACACCGGGAAGGCGCCAAAAAGGTGATGTAATGGAAAGTCCTCTATACGTACCTGATCATGGAAAAAGAATAGAGTTTTGGGCAAGCAACTAGTTACTAAACAAGGATATTATGATTACTGTGAATACAGGGGACTATGAATAGTGACCTAGTGTTTAAACCGAACACGGATTCTTCGAACGAATAATCTATCGAACAATTTCGCCCTCCATCGATCTATATTAATAATCTATATTCTATCGCACGCATGATGGCATTTTTCAACACTTTTTCAGCACTTTTTAAGTAGTTAAAATTTTTTTGTTTTGCTGATTATCGGGTTTTGTTATGTGGAGGTGCAAAACCGGATAACATGTACCGCCAAGAGTACATAACCCCCGCCCCCCCCCCCCCCCCCCCCCCAGAGTGTGCAACGCCTGATCCAGCTCTGCATATCGCATAGGGTCTTGGTCGAGCGTAATTGGATCTTCACTGCATCCATGTTTCCCTCGTATGGAAAGAACAGAAGTATTACTAGATACCGATAGGTGATTAAAACTTAGAGGAGAAGAGATTGAGAAGAAATACTGCGAGCAGATCTACGCAGTGCAAATATCAGTTGGGTCAGCACTGAGCATAGATTTTTTTTTTTTTTTTCGATTTCTGATAATTCCTACGACTATTCGATTATTCGTTCACCCCACGAATATTCTAAATTATTCGATTATTCGTTTCAACACTAATGAATACTGAAAGCCCTCACGTGAATGGTCGCAGCTCGACAGCACAGCCCATGTAGCATAGCATAGCATGCACGCACCATGATGACTGGCCTCGCAGAGTCCCCTCGGGCGTTCTCTCGAGCGACAGACGTCCACTGGCCATTACATCACGCCCGCTGTGGACCGACTGCCAGTACTCGATAGCGACCCATTCTGTCCGTTGCTTGCTGCCACTGACCGTCGAGACAAACCAAGCGTAGCGGCAGACAGAAATGGGAGTCCCAACTGGGGGAATTCATCTGCTGTCACCACCGCTCCTCTCCCGAGCCGTCGCGGAGGGCCTTCGCCATGCTCCTCACGATATTGACGCCGATTCCTTCCCTTATCAACTCACTCTCCCACTATGGTACCGTTCGTACGGCGCAAATACAAATATCAATAAAAAACTTTAAATGGTACCATTCGCTGTATAAAGTCTTGGCACGGACTTAAAGCAGTCCTTCCAATTGCAGAAACCGAACGGCCTGGGATGGTCTGTGACGATGGCTTCTCATACATCTGTGAACACAGCCAAATTCGAGAGACCTCTGCTGCGCTTCCGGGACGGACATTTGAGCAGTAGGTGGTCTGCATTCTCAGCAGTCCCTACACAAGATTCGCAGTCTGGTGAGGGTTGTGCTGAGATTCGATGGAGGTACTCATTGAGGAGACTGCTGTGTCCAGTGAGGAGCTGGTTAAGTGTCAGACGTTGTTTTGCGCCCAGTGTTGTCTGGGCCAAGCCTCTTGAGCTTAAGAAGTGGTCTGGGGTAGGTAGTGGCATTGCGGATGAATGACTTGGCCGCTTGAACAGGCAGGTCGATGTTATCCTGGTCACCATCGCACCCCAGCTTGGCAAGATGATCTGCCATAACCCACGTACTCTTGCTACAACTTATAGCACAATCATGTACTCATGTTTAGTGCAAGCCTTGATCTGAAGCAAGCATAAACAGCTACATGTACTAGTAGTTGATGGTTTAGATTTCGACAAGGCTCCAATGGAAT